CTTTAACCCCTTTAGGAAGTGGAGCAGCTGCGCCAGGAGAAACTGGAGATTGATCAGCAGCTTCGCGCCATCCAGGAATCCTCCATGGGCTCCACACAGAGCTTCCCCGTGACGCGGCGTTCTGAGCGCGGCTACAGCAGCGACATCGAGTCCGTGCGCTCAATGCGCGGCGGTGGCGGCGGTCAGCGTGGACGCGGACGCGGACGTGGCGGCGGCGGTCCTGGTGGCGGTAACGGTCTGAACCAGCGTTACCATAATAATCGCCGCGACGAGGACGATTACAATTCGCGAGGGGATCATCAGCGCGACCAGCAGCGTGGCTACAACGATCGCGGCAGCGGCGACAACAGTGGCAATTACCGTGGCGGTGGTGCCGGTGGCGCCGGTGGGCCCGGCAACAACAGGCGCGGTGGCGTCAACCGCCGACCGCCACGCAACGAGCAGCAGAACGGCAGGGACTATCAGCACCACAACCACACCGCCGAGGAGGTGCGGGAGACCCGTGAAGTGAGCAGCGTGGAAAGAGGTGAGTTGCGTGAATCATGCTGCCAATTAACCAATTAGTTGAATCAATTTATTTCGCGCGCTCAAACAAGATACAAAGTGAATACTCGATCCATCCCCTCTCCCTTCAATGGACATCGTGTGGGGTCAAGAAAACGAGAATCTGTACAGCAAGTTTATTAGCTATTAAAGAGTACTATATTAAGATAAGGACTGTTCCCCATTTTCATCTATGTTTAGGCTTCTAATTTAAATAAATCAAATGACATCATATTAGTTTTTTGTGTAACTGATCATAATAAACTTATTAAGAGATTGAAGTATTCTACACACATTTTTTAATTATTATTTTATGTTAATATGTGCTTGAAATGCACCTATTCTGCCTATTGTTGTTGACCAATGGGTGTTTTTAAGCAAAATTTAGGTCCCGGTTTGTGTAACTTAGAACATCATCGTCTGGATCAAAAAAAAATAAATACAAATTTGTATAGTACCCAAAGAGCTGTAACATTGTTTTTAGTTTGAACAAATATTTCCTTATTCCATTTATTTATTAGTAAAATCATTGGTTGGTTGGTACACTAAAATATTACCTATTAAAATCAGCATTAGAAAACTTTGTTTTCTAAAATTTTCAAAACTTTTTGTGGTCTAGATGCTAGCAATATCAACATTTTTGAGTCCAAGTAAAAATTGTATATTTTATTAACTCCAAATCTTGATAGTTTTTAATTGGTTTTGTGACAGGCGAAAGTTTCTGTAGCGGAACTTAATCCGTATTGGTATATTTCTATTGCCGTTTGTATTATTAAACCGCGACTTTTATGCTCATTATCCTCCTTTTCACAGCGGACAGTAACTCATCGTACGAGGGCAGCTCGAGGAGGCGTAGAAGGCAGAAGAACAACAATGGGCCTAGTAACAGTGAGTAGAATGCAATTGCTGTGGGTCAACATGCCACCAACTTAACTGAAAACGTATCGTGGCGATTTTGCAGTAAACGGAGCGGTGGCCAACAACAACAACAAACCCCAGTCGGCGCAGCAGCTACAACAGCAACAACCGCAGCCGCCGGCGCCTGTGAACAAGGCGGCACTGAATGCCGGAGATGCCAGCAAACAGAACAGCGGCAACGCGAACGCCGCTGGCGGTGCGAGCAAGCCGAAGGATGCCTCACGCAACGGCGACAAGCAGCAGGCGGGCACACAACAACAACAACAGCAGCAGCCGCAACAGCAGCAACCATCGCAGGTACAGCAGCAACACCAGGCGCCACAGCAGCAGCAGCAACAGCAGCCGAAACCGCGACGCAACAACAAGAATCGCAGCAACAACCACACGGACCAGCCAGCCGGCCAGCAGCAGCTGATGGAGAATGTCAAAAAAGAGGGCCTGGTCAATGGCACGTCCTAAGGCAATTGGGCAAAGCGGTAGCAGCAGCAGCAGCAGCGGCAGCGGCAGCAGCAGCAACTAACAGATGGGAAGAACAACATGAACATGAACACAAATTGCACATTGTTCAACGAAGTAACAATGTTGTGAGCGCAGCGGGGGCAGTTTAAATATTCATGTTGGTGTCATTGAATATAACCGCCACATAACACAACAAACAACAACAACAACACATCCAAGCAACAGCAGACACTAGAACAACAACAACATCAGCCAGAACATCAGTCACTAACAAATTGTTTGAGAAACTATATGAGTAACTAAAAAAAAAAAAGGAAACGAAAAATTAAAATACATGAAATATGTAACAAATGTAAAAGCATATACTAACACACACAGATACACTCACACACACACAGTTCGAATTATACACAAAAAGAAAAAAAAAAACACAGAAATAAAAGAAAATTCATGCCTAGGCTTATAATTTGAATTGAAACTAAAAAAAAGCTTCAATAACAATCAAAATGAATTATATTTATGTATAAAACAAATTCAAAGGCAATTATAAACAAGCAAAACGAACGAATCGAAAGGGAAACCATGAATATGTAAACTAAAACTTTAACTCTAATCCGGGCAATTAGCGTAGTTTTTCGAAAGGAAAATCTAAAGAAAATCTGGCAGAACGGGCGCTTCTAAAGCGCCCTTTGTGTCGACGACTTGAAAAGTTTCTAGTTATATGCATATTATAATAAAACGATAACAATATAATTGCATTTTTTGTTTTGGTTAAATTAATTTTAATTGAGTCTGTCATTTGTTTTTTTTTTTTTTTGTGTATAATTCGTGCATGCAACAACTTAATCGCCAAGCAGGTTTTTCGATTTTACCATCATTTTTGTATTATTATTGTTTAGTTTACCATTGTAAATGCCATGGCGCACTTAGAAGTTGCCTATAAAATTTAACAAAGTGAACGAACGCGGCTCCAGACAAAAGCCAAGACAAACAAATCGACTTGCAAGTGAATGTTGGCAATGGACATGTTCGTCTTGGGCTTTTGCAGCGTTTTATTGTTTATTTTGTTCGTTACAACATGGAAATCCTCTCTTATTTGTATAATGTTGTATTTATTTTCTATTATTAACACATCCCCACCCCCACACTCAGCCGCATACACCATCAAAAAACACAAATGTCAACTCTCACATACACGCTCGCTCATACAAACAATGAAAGGGAAACGCATTGAACTTGATTTTGTTATAAATATATAATTTACTTCGCCAAACCTACAAAGCGTATACTAACTTAGTCCTCTATTAAATACTCTTAAATTATTTAACGCAAGTAACGTGCAGCGTCGAGAGCATTAAACACAATCATCGAGAATCGTGAAACATTTGAATGAAACCATTATAGAGAAGCCCCTAAAATAATTACAATTAGTTCAAGCAAGCCGATCACATCAACTAAGGAATATAAATACGATGTAAATCCACCACAAACCATTTAAGAACAAACATCAAGAAGCAAAACAGAGCAATTCTTCTATCTTATTTGGGAGAACAGTGTCAATAATATGTAAGAAAAGCAAACAACACATTTTAACATACATTGAAGAAGGAGATAACGATAATGGTACCGATAAAGATAAATTTAAATAATGTTGTGTAATTCAAATTAAATAAAAACAAAAATCCAGCAAAAACAAAACTGCATAAAAACATAAACGTAATAATATAAATATAATGAGAAAAATGTGCGATTTAAATTTATTATTTATATAAAGATGAACTTATAAAGAATAGAAATATAGCAAGTAAATTTTATTAATTTAAAATTTATATATATAAAACAAACAAACCATCAAACAAAAGACGTTTGAATTTCTTGTAGTTATTTTTACCAAAACTAAAGTAGTCATATTTTATTCGGCCTCAGGAAGTTTTGGGTGGGTTTGGAGCAGTAAGCTGAGATATTTATTCAAATTCGCTACAACTACGATTTTATTCTTCCTTTCTTAACTTATAAGCTTAATCTTGTATTTTTTTTAGAATCCAATTTTTTTAGATAAGGAATTGGTAGAGTTTCTTAAGAGTTAATGATTCCCCAGTGGATGACGGCATGAAGAAGTAGTATGGAAATCGCTTCTTGATATTTTGTCCAGAAAATGTCCTTCCATCCTGATTATGGGCAAGTCAGTTTGCCTTAGCCCATATAGCATTATCGTTGCTTTAGCTTGTCGCGGCGGCAGTGAAGATAGTGGCTGTGAATTGTCAACGGCAATAATTGGCTACACAACCAGCTAACCACACTGCCAAAGCGCATAGCCAATTGAGGTTACTTGATTGTGGTGTCACTAATTTGGTCAACATATAATTCATTCGGTATCTTAATGATTGATGGACAGGCAAAATATAGATAAGGAGAACGGTTATTTTTTCTGTAATACAATTCGTTCAAAAATCGAAATTGTTGTAGCCTCACCATCTTGCGGATGTTTTCGAGCAACTTCAGTTCGCCGAGCTTTTTTGGGGCAGCGAGCGCCACCTTCTGGCCAATGTTGGTTGGGGGGGTCTTCAAGTGGGGGGATTTCCCGATATGCTGCTTTTTATGCTACGTTGCGTGTCGACGAAAGCTCTTTCGGGCGGTGCCGGGGGGGTGGTTAAAGTGCGCTGTAAAATATGCAATGTTAGCCTTTAGTTTTAAAATCATACTATTTTATGGGGTTTTAGTTTTGGAGTTAAAAAAAATTACTACTATTTTTATAGTTTGCCCTAGCATTGTATAATCTAATTTCTTTGATTTCCTCTATAAATAGCATTATTTCCCAGCGAAAAGTCTAATTCCTCTAATTTCCAGTACAAATAATATACAATTCAGGGCAAACAAAGTTTAAATTGCTATTAAAGACCTTTGTGGCACAATTGCAATAATTATAATTGAGCCAATTAGAGCCGGAGTGCTCAAGGTCATCGCTAGCTCTACGCTGTCGTGGCTAAGAAACCTTGCAGCCGAAGGTTACTTCTCATTGCTGCCCTGCCCTCAACATGCAAAGTTCCCTCGATAAATCAAATAAAACCACAATATACATATACAGTTCAAAGGTCTTCATAGAAGATATTCATATTTTATTGCATTCTTTATTTAAAAACAGTGTCATACAGATATGTAACTTAAGAGTAAGCTTATTTATTTCTTATTAATATGTTTAGGGTAAAAATCAGTTTGAGAATTGGTTTGTCACACTATCACAAAAATTGCATATTTCATTTATTGTTCTCGCATTTTCTTGCATTCGGGAAGATTGTACGTTCTGGAATGTCGTACCAGATAGTGCATTTACATGCTTCAGAATGTTTCAGTGCAAATGCACTCCTGACACGCAGCCCAAAACCTTCAAAGGATGCATTGTCATTTAATCGTTTTTATTTTAAACTGAAACTGAAACAGAAACAGAAACTAAAATTATGTTGAGCACGGCGCGGCGTCGCGTATTTGTGGGGGGCAGTGTCATTGAGCAGCTATTGGACCAGTCAATGGATCTCCTGGAGGCTATTGCTGGAGGGTTGGATTCGACGATAAACCGAAAACGAAGGTAACTCCAACAAACAAACAAAGCTCAAACGCATGCAGAACAAAAGTGAAGTGGGAACGGGAACGGTAATGGAACTGGGACTGGAAATCCGAGTACAATGAACCATGAACTAAGAAACCGGCCGCAACGCTCACGAAACTGGTGATAAGCAGCCGCAGGTGCCAAGGTGCGTAGTTGATAGTGATAAGCTATAACCAACGGATCGGGGCGATATGAGTATGTAGGTGGGCCCCGAGGGGTGTGTGCACAAAGTGGGTCGATGCGGATCGCCGAGTGTCGATCGCCGATCGCCGATCGGTTATACAAGTCGTTTGTGTGTCACCACATGTCATTCGGGCTGAGTTTTTCCCATTTATGCTGCGGCCTATCAGTCAACGCCATGTAAGCTGGTTAAATCTAGGCGGAAACTGAATGAAATGCCCTCAACATCGAAACTGGAACCCATTTGCAAGGGGTCGATAAGATAAGCACGACGATTATAAACTGATTGCTCAAAAAGTAATCCAGTGCCGAATTTCTTAAGAACTTGTACCCAAGCTGACTATTTCATCAATGCAGTTCCCAATGTTTTCTAGAGCAGAGATTCATTTCTATTCCGGCAAATGGGCGCAGTTCGGCCAATGCAGCCTTCAATTTTGACTTGCTTGGCTGCTTTTTACTTGACTCTAGGTGTGGCGTATAAACACAAAATAAATCCAACAACGAGGCCAAAACATTGAGCGAGCATTGGGCCTAAACCAACAAAGGCAAGAAGTGGAGGAACCAGACCAATGCTAACAATTATTGTAGAATACAATCAAAATACATTGAATTTTGAGCGGAGCAAAACAGAACCGAAATTTCGCAATTAAAAAATCGACCGAACATGACTGCAAACACACTGCGTATACGCGATGTGTCATCTATAAGCACACATGCACATAACCGTGTGGAATATCTGACAGATAATAAACAGTCTTAGCTTGTAAAATTCATAATGTGTGTAACCATTTAGTTTTTTAATCGCGTGCCAGCGAGAGGAGTGTGTGCTTGTGTGTGTTCTAATTTCGAAAGAACAAGAGCTCGGGCAATTAAATAAATTATTGTTCATTTGTGTCGCTGTGTGTGCGTATGTGTGTGTATCGATAAATGAAAAGCTAGCTCATGAGCTTAAAAAGCGTTAACTGAATAAAGAAACAAAATGTGCTTCCATGTGCCTGTCAAATCGTTCGTATCCATGTGCGTTAAATGGGTTACATGGTCGACCTGGCAGTTGAATGAAAAAATTTCTAAAATGCCCCAAAACACCTTCTCGCCACCATTCTGACAGTCCCCACCGCGTCCCCCTCCAAGCTGCGCGCTCCTCTTTATGGCCCACTTAGTGGCTCAGTTATAATTTCATTAGGCAAATGCTGAGCATTTTTCATTAGCACTTCATGAACCAATGGCCCCTCCATTCAGCCCCCGACCCCCCGCTCTTTTTGCTGTGTTGGCCAACACGTTTACTTTTATCTGGGTCATAAAAGCTGCCACTGCCACTGCCAGCCAACGGAGTTTCGAAGAAGTTGTCGTCACCGGAAGTGACCCGAAGTGTTACCAAACTGAAATAGAGGGCCATAACGCTACTTAAATAAATTACTGTTTGACTTGGCCGAAAAGAATTGCAAGAGCCAAAAGTATAACGTGAAACATGAAGCCAGCGCTGAGGTGGAAAAAGAATTTGTGAATTATAGCCGATATTCAGTGCTACTGCTTTCCTGGTGGACTGTGGATTCTAATAATTAATTTTCACCAAGCAAATTTATACCGAGCACAAAAACAATGTCTTTCCAAAAAAGATGATTAAATAAAATCGTTTTTAAAACGAATGAATTTCTCTCTTTACATTTTACACAGCACATTTGGGTTTTAAAAGAAACTTATAAACAAAATAGGAAAACATTTAGATTTTTTAAAACTATTTTGTTAAACAGCAAAAATCTAAATAAAATGTTGCCTTATGAAATCACAGTACCACAGACAAAGAGTATCAAATGGAGAGAGCGTTCCCCCTTTTTAATTCGGTGGGTCGCATGATCAGCCACACATAACTAAAAAACACGCACGCTGACTCTGGCACTTATTATCTGCTAAATACACACTCGACTGACTCAGATACAGATACATTCATGAGGAGGAAAACGTATAGCTCGGTAAACGCGGCGTATACGTAATCACAGACGCGGAATGTTTGCTATTCGATTCTTTATCTGCAGACGGGAAACCACAACAGCCAGACAAGTCCAAAAGCGAAGGCAGCCCTTGTCTGACTGCCCAAATTTTATACAAATTGTTTGTGAATGATTTAGTTTTTGGGCGTTTTTCGTCAGTTTTTCGGGAGCGGATTATTCGCTTGGCAACAAAGCGATATGGAAATGTGACCACGATAAGCTGGAAGTAAGAAATTCCATAAACTTATCTCTCTTTCCGTCACCATTTTTACGTGGCTGCCACAGCGGCATTTATTAATAATGGAGCCCACAATTGACGCAGCTGCTAACTTATGACGAACGCTGCTGAAGCATACAAGTTTTTTGCTTTTGGTTTTATGGCAATTTAGTCTAAAATTAAAAAGAACAAAACAAACTGAGTCATGCGTTAAAGGCGTGAAACCTAATAGAAGATCATAAAGACCAGCGCTGCGTGCGAGTGAAAGAAAAAAATAGAGAAATGAAAGGTCTGGCCAAAACAAGAATCAAGTTGGGCATTATGTCTATTGAAATGTGTTGAATTGAAATATTTACTTTAAAATAATAGTTGTTTTTGGAAACTTTCATTCCAATTCAATTTTGACACCAATATAGCTGTATTCTAACAAATTTTCTTAGAAAACACATTGTTTACTTAACTTTCCAACAGCTAAATAATGCAGATACTTTGAACAACTTTCTTCGAACAACTGACGAGTGAATTCATCAAAGTTTAAACTGTTTCGCAAGGAACAACAAACGGACTGCTACTTGTCCGAAAAGCCATCGATAAAAGCGTTTCTATGAGGGCGCGTGTTTGTGTGAAGATTTGCTGGCAGGCTCAGGTTGACCCAAATCGTTATAGGCCTCAAGCAGTGTCTATATCGTATGGCAACGTGCCGTGTATTTTGCCTTCTGGGTGATGTAATAAGTGGCAGGCGAAATGACACACAAGTGTGCATTGAATTTGCAACACAAAAGGCGGCGGCGAAGGGGGTCAAAGTGGGTAATAGATGAGTTATGCGGTGGGCCATAAATTTGTCATCCGACTGCATTTAAGCCATATTTATAGAGCACTCTTCGACTAAATTCATCGGACAAACTAATAAATGTCAGAATTCTGGCAAATAAATATAGATAAATTCTATGCAGCTCTTTTTCTGTGCTTTCTCTTGTTTTTTTTTTTTTTTGTTTTTGTTTTTGGTTCATGGCATGGCAACATTTCACTTTTCATTTTACCCTGCAAAAGAACCGCCCTCCAATCCACACCCTTGCCAATCCAATGTGCACTGCATTTGGCCCGGAGCCAAAGAGAATTTTTATTTTTGGCTCCTTGGCTCAGCTCACGACTGCAGCCAGGCCATGGATGGTGCCGTGTATCCGATAGATACCAATACACTTGGGCCAGGCCAGAGCTATCTAGGTTGGCTATACTATGTATGTAAGCTGACGGCCTGACTAAAAATCAATACGCGGCGTCACGAAGCCCATCCAATTGTAATTATCGGAGGTGCCAAAAAGTCCGTTTCAAACTTATCAAACTGCAACTTGCGGGGGGTTGAATGGCTGGGGCTGACTTCCCTCCCCAATAAACTGGGTCATAACACTGACCCAATTTCGTCTTTACATAACTGCTGTAGTGCGAGTGATGGGGCGAGGGGCAGATCGACCTCCATGCGGAGTAGTTTGCAGGCTGCTGCATTGCCATCTCCCCATCTCCTCATCTCCCCACAAACGACCTTGCGGTCCGGGCTGAAGGTCGCTTTTGGTAGCCAAAAGGCAACCAAACATTTCACAATGTATAGCTATATATTTGATTCGATGAAAAATATATGAAAAATCTCAGAAATACTTAAAAGCAAATGAAAACAACACGTGATTCATTTGGGGTATTTCAAATTCCGAATAAATGCTGAATGCTAGACCTGGCTTATCAGCAAATGCTAATCGTTTTAGTCTGGTTGACTGACAAATTAGGAGTCTAAACTGATACTTTACATGCTGTCTAACTAGGCACAAAATACTAGTAGTCAATGATCCATCACAGAACGCCGCCGACAATGATGTCATAATAATATCTGTTTATTGGGATTTACGTGATGACAACTTTTGTCTGCTGCCGGCTGCTGATATCAGTTAAAGTCCAAAATCCAAATGCAAATTCAACGAAAATTTCGCGGCACTCTGGCGAATGTTTATAAAAACGTACTTAGCTATTTATAAATGCTGCTCAACGATTAACAGACTGCAAAGTCCAAAGACGAAATTTATTACTTTTAAAATAGAAAAATGTTTAATGCTGACTTGCTTGAGATGTGTTAGTTTTCGCTTTAATACTTCAAAAAGAAAATCGCTAAGGCTCATAAGTTTGTGTCTGTGAAATTTTTTTAGTAAGCTTTAAACTGGTTTTTAGATTCCCTCTTGGCATCAAATCAATCAACGTGGATTTTTGCCATGAATCACAGAAATATATTCGTATTTCTCGGGCTGAGATAAGCTGTTTCTTCATCGCTTTTTGTTCGTTATGAATTTGCACTGGCTTAGGAAATATCTGCTTTTCGATATCTGTTTGTGTTTGCACGCCTGTTTTCTGTGTCAAATGCATTTTTCAGTCATCCACCCACACGAGCGCGGGGAAAAACAACAAAAATCGACCTCATAACACCCACCTACAGGCACGCACGCACACCACTGCAGGTGAATGGCTATTCGCTTGTGGGCGTGTGTATTTTCTATGTACCGATGGCCTTATGTAAAAGTCGGTTCGTTATTTTTACACAAAATATTGCAATTTGCTGTGTTACCCCCACACTCACACACTCACACACTCACACACTAACACACTGGCCCACAGCGCGTATACGTACTGTGTTCGCATGGCGAAACCGAGCAAGGTCAAGTGGCCGAGTGTGAGTTGTTGCTCTCGGATTGCAAGTGCCTCCGATTTAATTGCCCTCGCCTGAATTTTATCTTCCCCTTTTGAAGTCGCCGAAAGCCAGACTTTAATTGAGATTTCACTTGCCCAGAGCTGAGCCCCGTTCCACTGCTCCCCTACTTGTTCAACAATTAACAAGGTCTTTGTTTTGTGCATCTTATATAAGATGAAAACGAACTGCACAGAGAGATGCAAAATTTGGGTTACAAGCAGCAACTGCAGCGATACTAAATTTAAAACCGCCGCTGCGGCGGGTGCGAGCGAGAGAAAAAGCCGCCGCCGCCGCCGCCGCCACCGCGCACACACAAGTGCTGCTGATTGTTTTAAACAAATTGCCCCGACTAGACACAAAAACTACTTAACAATGTGTGTGAGCGAACGAACGGCCATTGTTTTTTTTTTTTTTTTTTTCTGTTGTTGTTCATGCCATGCCAATTACAGGGTGTCTATCTGTTGTGCCATTGCATAATGCCCAGCGAATTGCAATTGCAATGGCAGATGTGCAGCTAACCGACTGATATTACGTATACGCCACCGAAAAAGTCTGGGCTTGGGTTTGAGTTTGGTGTGTTTTGGGGTTTCAGTTTTGGGTTTATGCAATCCGGGTTGGGTTGGTTAAGAGGAACACACTATATGGGTTGGAAAACGCAGTTAATCAGCTGTTGTGTGGATCGATCGACTGTCCGCCAGCTGTGTGCCCCTGCTACTTCCGCTCGTTGTTGCCGACTCGATGGGAAAATGAACACTGAAGCTGGCCAACGGCAATTGGCCAACAGAAACGGACGTCGGCGACTGCAGCGGCAGCGACGTCGACTGCAGCTGCGTTTTTGGCTTTTCTTTGCCTTCGCCGTTGCCGTTTGTAAAGAAAAACTGTTACAATTTTAGGCCAAACGCGACGCGAACCGATACCGTTTTGATGGCCACGTGTGTGTCTGTCTCTCGTACGGATGTGTGTGTGTGTGTGTGTGTGCGGCAAAGACGCTCTAAGGTGAAATATACTAAATGCAGGGCGGAATTTTGTATTAAATGTATTTCTGTCTCTCGCTGCAAATGCAGCTGCCACAACACACACACACACGCACACACACATAGAACGGAACGAACTTTTCATTTCGCGGCTAAAACTAAAAAGTCGAACTACTTTGGTCTAACGCTGAAGCGCAATTGTCAGCTGCTCGGCTCGTTCAAAAAAGCTAACACACTCGGCACTGGCAAGAGAGTGGGGGAGAGCCAGCTTTCGGTTAAAGCTCTCTCATCCCACACACACTCAGGCAATGACGAACAGCGGAAGCCAAGAGCTTTTGCAGTTGCACATGACGCAAACTATCTAGCTCTCTTTATCTACTACTCTCCCCCTCTCCCTCTCGAGCTATCTCTCTTGCACAGTTGCAGTTAAATGTTCAAGGTGATGTTTCCCTGTGTGCGTGTCCGTGTGTCACAGTTTTTTTTTTTTGCGAGAGAGATTCCACAATTATGCGAAATTATCGATCAAATTTTGTTCTAAGGTCAACCTTAAATTGAAAATCCCGCTGTTCCACCGCGATTGTTCCGCCTGAGGCCAACAGCTGCTATCGGAATTGTTAATCTCGTCATGCATGACCTGCAGCATTTCGTGTAATTAGTGCCCTTACTGCCTTTATAATGTTATTTCGATAAAACGAGGGCTGACACACGATCTTGTGCGATAAATGATTTAAAGTGCTCTGACAGACAGACAGACAGACGATCGGGGAATTAATATTAACAGTGCATACGAACCCTCTTAAAATTGTAAAAATTTAAATGTATATAAATGGCTGCACTGTCTCTTTTAGTAACAATGTAAGTTAGTTTATGAAGTTGATTGAATGAGAAAAACTCCATTTAATATAATGTTAGCTTAGAAAAATGATTTTGTCTGGGAGGATTTGCAATAAGAAAAACTGAGACTCCTAAAAGAAAATCAATCTCTAATAAATGTGAACGGTCTAATCTAATAAAATTTTAAAGGTTTGTTTTTATTAATACTATGTATTTAACTATACCTTATTAAAGACATAATGCTGACCTTGACTCTATCAAAAAATCTTCTAAATATAAAATTGCAGGTCACACAAAATATCTATCAAAAAATAACAAAAGCTCATTGGTTTTAATAAATCATTTTGATAGCTCAATCATAGTCGCCTATAGATTAATGATTTAATTTGTTGGCCATAAACTTGTTGTTTCCGATGAAAAAAAACTTAGGCTTGAGTTCTATATCCCTCGATTGCGTAAGTCACAAGCGCTTAGCCATTGTCTATTATTTGAGAGCGAGTTTTTATTGAATTTGATGGCGTTTTATATGCGAGCACTTCAATCGCAGCTAATTGCTAATTTCATCATAAAACTTGCCCATGAGGTCACCGAGAATGCACACTGTGCCGATGACTGTGTCTTTAATTACTATCCAGATAATTGTTTGGCTAACCCCGGTGGAAAACCGATTTTACACTGCCATTTGACCAAAAAAAATCATGGCAGTGACAGAACCCAGTGATTGCATAAAACACAGGGGAAAGCAAAAAGACTCTTAAATGCACACGTACCAAACTATACATATACCCGTAAAACACGGGGGAGAAACGAAAAATTCGCTCGGGCAGAAAATCAATTTCGTTTTCCTTGACCTCAGGGTAAAGAGAACTACGAAAGACAAAGGGGAGTGTCGACAAAGGATAATTGACGGTCATTTGAAATGCAAAAGTGACAAAAGTGGCTGCAGCCGCGAGCAGGCAAATGTCGAAATAATGTCACCAAGTTGCCTTTGCACAGCTGCACTTCGGATCAAGAACTGTTGGCAAATTCGCATTGCATCGCATCGCCAGTGTTTGAGCCAAAAAGCCGAAGCGAAACGAAAATAGAAAATACCAATGGCTTTCGTTTTGCGGCAAGTGCACGCGACTGGGTGAAAACAACAAAAAATGGGCGAAAATAAATCTATATATATATATAAATCGCAAACAAAATCAATTTGCAGCATGAACATCTTTTTAATTGTTTCTGCCAGCGATTTCTAAAACTGATTGGACCGCTCCTCGCTGAAATTTCACTCATTTCTACGGACGGTTTGCTTTTTGTGCGGGGCATAATAAATGGTTTAAAGAGTTTTCAGAGCGTTGCATTCGATGCGCCCATCATCGCACCTCAAATCCCCACACCAATCCGCCCCCATGTGCATGTGGTAAGTGGGGGTAAATAATACATTCAAATCGAAAAGAAATTCGGAGCAAGCGGAAAACCAAAAGCGAAATTATAATTATTTTGAATGTGTAACAAGAAAATGCTGAGTATAATAATCATATGCAATTTTTGTCTTCTCACTGATTATTTTCTTAAACGATTCTTAAGTCTTAAGATTATTTTATTCAAATTCCAATTTATCTCTTTTCATTGTTTTTTTTTTTATTTTTTTTTTTTTGGGGAAAAATGAATACTTGGTTGAAACGAACTGAAGCTTATGGCTAAGAGAACATCTTTTTAGTATGGCAAAATTAGGTTTATAACGGAAAGTACGAAACAATTAAACGAAATGAAAATTATTGATAAATTGGACTTGCAAAACAAATGGTATTATCCAGAGCAGTAAACTGGTAGATTTGACGAGGCACTTACCGCATACTGAAGGTAGGAGCTATCCTGGACCTGGAGGTATCTGGAGCTGCAAGGATGCCAAACGGCCACTGGATACCACCAGCTGTGTTCACTTGCTGCAGTTTATTCAAAGCGAGCACAGGGTGTATCCCAATGGCAGTTGCATATGGAAATTCAGCTTTTCGCGGAAAGCTCAGCAAGTACACAAACCACTTTTATCGCTCTGCTTCAAGCTACAGATGAAGTTTCCACAATGTTTTTTATTCAGCTGCACTTTTTTTACATACGTTTTTCAGTTAAATCACATTTACGCACACTTATTTGTTTATCACTTCAATGTATTAAGTTGTGAGATATGTTGAAAATAAATTTGATATTTCCACACAGTCCTAATTGATATATTCTTGCTCTAACGCATCCCTTTCAAATTTGTGAAATATTTAAAATATTAGTTTTAAAATTATTACCTCTTTTCAAGTCAGTTACTAAAACCGCTTATAATAGTTTTTTTTAATTTTCTGTAACCAATGTACTTTAATTTTAATATTCATTTCCAGATGTTGATATTGATAAAGTAATATATTTAAAATTATTTATAATGAATCTTTAACAATTAAATCAATAATGAATTTTTAATTCCTTTACTAACAATTGAATTTCATTGGTTTCTGATACTTAGAGACTTTTGATGTGATACAAGATATAACTACGGCCCTCCTCATAGACTCTCCATAAATTGTAGAGGATATATAATAAACAATTAATTAAAACTTGGTTTCTAGCCCTTATTAATTGATTTCTGATTTATTTTAGTCCGAAACCTATTTTCGCAAGTTATTTTATTTAATCACTTTATCTAAAAACTCTTGTACTATTTCAACTGTTCACTATTTCTTGGTCTTTTCTTGATATTTAATTTATTGCACTTTTGCCATCTGTGACCTGTGTCCAAAACTTTCCGTTGGCCAAACTGGACCTTTTCTGGGGGATAACCGAAGTGCTTTTGGCTTGCATCTCGTCTCCTTGGATTCGGCTCCAACAGCTGCCAGCCGACTTGTGGGTTGTTCCACATAAACGAGTATATATGTATATCCATATTCCCGATCCCCTCAATATGGGCGTGTGTATCCGAATGCTGCCCACGCGTATTGCTGCATGGGTGTGGAAAGGTCAAGGTGCAAGACAACAAGAACGAGTGTTGCACATGCCCAAAGTGTGAGTTGGTATTGTATGTACATACAAGTACATACATACATATGTCTGTGTGGAGGAGAGTTCGGTTCGTGTCGTACTCAGCTGCTTAATTATTCAAATTTAATTGCCATATGCTGGCGTGCGTCACTTGAGTTCTATGTAAGTACATACATACATACACAAAACACCAACCATATTGTTTGAATTTTTCTCCTATTTTGGGCTGTGCTAATCAATTCTCCACACCTGATTTTGCTATTAAGGGCGACGCGCCTTTAAAATGAACTTGGGAAGAACAAAACACACACCAACAAGCACTCGCACACACCGATACCGACACTGAACAGGATACGGGATACAGGATACAGGATACAGGGGATAACTAGGCGTATGCGTGATGCTGACCTCATCGGTCGCCCGCTCGTCACCGAATAAACTTGGCCAACAGGGAAGCTGCAGCTGGGCTCGCACAGGTGGAGGTCACTTCCCCTCCTCCACTGCCTGATTTTACCGCCTTTCACCCCGCTTTTCGTCCGATTTTCTCCCATATCCTCCTATCCCCTTAGGTATGCAACAGTATGTGACTACACAACAACAAAACAGCAAACAGTTGGCCGACGCTGGCAGCGACGTCGACTGCGCTGCTTTAAGCCGCCCACGCAAAAGCTCCTCTCTGACACACTCACACTCTCGCAAAAGAGCAAACGCTATGAGAGCGAAGCTAGTACTCTGCTCTGATTTTGTTTTTGTTTAACTTAATCAATGGCAAACAGCTCCTCATACAAAACACATACCTGCTGCGTCTCTCTTTCTGTTTCTCTCGATTTTTGCCGGCAGTAAAGAGTTTTCAAGTTCAAGTCTCTGAGTGAGAGCGCATGTCTGCTGTATATAGGCCGCCTCGCTTGCACACCAACACACGCACGTTCAGTTGCATTTCGATTGTTGTTCCGCCTTTTCGCTTTTTGCTGTCGTCATGCAAAAATCAACGAAATCTCCCACCCCCTTTTCGACCGAGTGGGATGTGGGTGGGTGAATTTAGAGGGCGGGTCAGTCAAATCCTTTCGACTTAGCGCTGCTCAGCTGAACTGAACTGTCGCTAATTAAATTTCCATGCTGACGCAGCTCACCACCCTAAAAATAAACAAACAAAGAGATTTTTGTTTAGAGCACCATCGATAAAATGCAGGCTAACATTATCGATTCCGCAGCATTTGCGCGCTGGCCATTGGTCCGTCTATAAACAAACATTTTGAAAGCAAAAAAATTTGCCATTCGTTTGCACATTTTATGAGGGCGCAATTTTCGAAGGAATTTGCACACACCACACTGAGAAATACTCTAAGGCGAATCCCAGACAATAGACATACATATGTGCATATGTACTGTATTTCTTATAATTTTAATTTTGTTAATTTAAATAGACAACATTATACGAAGTTTCCTTTTAAAAGCACACAATGATGGTTCAAAAACGATGTAAAATAAAAATAGTATTATATCATATGTACTGAAATTGCTATTTGGGTTCTAATATCCTGTTTACTTCGTATCACAAAGAGAACAATATCTGCTGTATTATACCGTTTATTTTCTTTGATATAGCCTATACCTCTCTCAGATATTCGTGTTTATAAAAGGTGGATTTGTATAGATTTGAATTTAAGTATTGATTAAAAAAAAAAAAATTTTAAAAGAAAAAAAGAAAAAATCAAAATTAAATATAGTCTTTCCAATTCTCCACCTAACAATATTTTTTTCCGTCACTTTTCTATTTCCAAACCATTGTGCATAAGTCAGGGAGAAAAATAGAATTTTATTTTCTAGGTTCGCCTGTCACCGTTTCCCGCCTTTATCACTGCCCACTCAAGGTCTTCTCGAGTGCATTGCACATTACATGTGGTATATTGCAATGCTGGTGCAACGAACTCACCGCTATGCAAAATGGAATTTAGTTTAATGTGTTTTTTATGTGTTCCGGCTATGGGTGTAGCCGGAATTAGTTTCAATGAGGGAAAAATAATTATAAAATACATTTCTGAGGGTCAAAAATATCCCAATACTTTTCAGTTGCTCATTTGTAGTATTAAGCATTGCTATTATTGTGGCTTACTATTCCAGGAGCTCAATAGCTTAATGGGAAACTAATTTTTCGATTGATTCAATATTTAAAACTTAATAACAAGTTTTCGTAATTGATAATGTAGTGCGCACAAATTTTTTATGGAAATAGGAATGCGTTAATATGTTCCCTGTTTCCAGTGAAACATTTTCAACGGTGTATGGAATCGATTTCGATGTTTGGGGATCGATGTTCCAGCTTTTTGCTGTGTTTGCTGTTGAGCTACGAGTCCATTAAGTAAGAACAAGCTGGCGATTAATTAAATGGCCAACAGAAATTCTCGTTTTGCTTTGGCAGGTAGTCAGACAGGTCGAAGGGGGTGGGTGGAGAATGGGAAGGTGGAGGGTGATTGCAGTCGCCACTCAGCGTAATCATCAACATCAATTCAATTAAAGCTCCATGGGTGTAGTAGGGTGTGTGCGTGTGTGTGAGCAAAAGATAATAAAACTGAAAGGCAAAACGCATAGAGCAATAATAAGTGCGAATAAGTGTAGCAAAGCGAGCGGCAAAAATCAACTTTATCAGGTGCACAGACAAAAAAAACACTTGAATCGATATTTTGGACACTTGGATAAAAAAGCTACAGCTTAAACCATTTTCATTTGGTAACAAAAAGCAGAGCTTGCATGCTACTGTTGCCTAATAAATAAAAAATACTACTCTCCCCGATTATTATGGTAGGTTTTGAAGTGCAAGTAAAATAAATCAAATGATCAACAGTTCGTATGAGTAATAGATTTTTCTTAAAAATCTGGTATTTACCAAAGAGCACAGTATATACGGATGACTTTGTAATTGTATATAAACATTATACATTTTTAAGTACATAGTTTTTAGCAAAAAATAGAATACTGGCACCAAATTAACCATCGTATCATATCTACATATGTACATATAAATTTTTCTTTCTATAGCGGCCGAGGCTTCACTGCGTAAGTGAGAGAGAGCGAGTTATGTTTGCTCGCGTTTTATGCCTTTGCCAGCGAATGTTTGTTGCCGCCACTTTTTGTTTTACTGTTTCGCCTTTTCTTTCTTTGTGTTTGGTGCTTCGCTTCTGCTTTTTACTCATTGCTTTTTGTGATGCCTTTGCTTCCTCTTTGTTTGCCGCTGCACGTGTAGGCGTCTCTTTCTCGCATTGAAACGTGCAAAACTGGTTTGCCACACGGCTACACACATACAAGCGGGTACAGCACAGCACTAGGGTAACTACGTATTGCCAGCTCGTTCGCACTCACGCCTCGAGTACTGTATGTACAACTAGTATCTTAACCTTGAACTTGAAACACACACACACGCATACAGAAGCGTAGATGAGAGAGCGACACACTGAACGAAAAACAAGCACGCGATGCCGACGTCGACAGAGCTTTTTCGCTCTAGCCATGTGTTTGTACGTCGCTCTCTCTTTGCCCATTTCGAATTGCAGCTTACGCGATGCATACGTAATATGGCGAACACCTGGGCCGAGTCATCTTTCTCTATTTAGACAGTCTCAGTACCGCCCCAAAAAACTTTTCCCCCACCCCTCCACCAACATCCCCAAATCCATCTATATCGCCACCCTAACACAGTTTCAAATGACGCCACTGGGCAATTAAAGGGGTGCACTGGGAAAAATCATGTCATAAACAACAAATAAGGGTAATCCTTAAAGATACTACCGCTATTAGGACTCTTATTTTTTAAAAAATGTTTGCCACAAAATGGTTGGTATCCATTTTAATTTTTATGTTTTTGTTATCTAAAACTTTTGACATTTTAAATGCTTAAAAAACTGAACAGTAATGTAAATAAATTACGTATACTTAATGTTAAAATTAAATTTGCCCTATACTTTATTATAATAGTTTGTACTATTAAGAAAAATTAAGGAAGTTTATTTAATCCAAAACTAAATTTTCACTAAAGAAACTTTTTTAGTAACAATACGAACAATTTGTCAGATTTGAAAAATTAAGATCAAAAACATAAGGTTAGGAAAAAGATTGTTGGAGGGCACTTGTCTTTTAAAATTGTAGGAACTATATTTTGACCTTTCTAGGAAATGCACACATTTATTTGCTGTGTAACCGTGAAGATGACTTTTCCTGCCCAGCCCCATCCTCGCTTCCGTAATTCCGTAATGAGTGTGGGTTGTGCGGAGATGGGGCGAGTGTTACGTAAACGAATTTCGAAATCCCATTTACCCACACGTACATATGCAGATGCACACATCGATGTGCTGCTCGTATATTGTGCCAACAAAAGCGGCACGCAAAGCTAAACTCGAGTCAAGTTCAGATACAAAAATATCCTATTGTGTAGGTTGTGCTGTGGCTTTCCACAGGGGGCGGTGGCCGCCGGGAAATCGCACTTGGATCTTGATTGACTGCATCACATAGCAGTATTTCGAGTGCTGCCTTACTGGGCGAACTGCAGTTTACAATTTCACAGAATTGTTTACCGCACTCGACCGATCGTGTGTCAGTAGATAATCTGAGTCACAAATATACGTACTGCATATGTACATACATCAGTTGGGAATATAATAGAATGCTGAGGCGCTGATCTGCTGATGACACGTGATGCAATCGAAAATCAGCGGGCTGACATGCTGGCCATAAAACTACAGAGTGTTCTGCTATTGCTAAGCAATTCTGTAAACCGTTTTAGTAATAAACACAATTTTATTGGCCCATTAGATTGGCGGACACAATTAAGCGTTAAATAAAGAACTTGATTGTCGATCTTTTAACCTATTTCTTAGAACAAAGAGGACCTTTGACCTTTTCAACTATTTTATCAAAGAACATTTGAGTAAGAAGTTTGTTATGTTTTACGTATCTATACTTATTTAAATTTAATAGGAGATGCAAACGTGAATTACGAACTATGCATGTTATTTAATGCAAAAGATTCTAAGAGTATTTAGCTTGTCTGTGATATGATGTGAAAAGTAACTTATGTTTCAAACTTGAACATATTTTTGAAATCCCAAATTCAAAGCCAATTTCGTTGATTCGCACTCTAACTAGCGACAATGGTCAGGAAATTAGTTTCTAATTGTTGGTGCGGAGTGAAGTCATAAACAAGTGAGTGAAGCTGACAAACAAAATGGCAACACACAAATAAAGCCATCATCATTTCGCACAAAGTTCCTGAGAATCATAATTCCCTTTGGCCAAATTCCGAATGTTTCGCTCGTTTCGTTTTGTTTTCCTTTGACTTGCATACAAACGGAACTGTTTATAAGCTTTTTCGCATTTGTTTTGTTTATTTTCGTTGCTGTTGTGGCTTTTTTCGCGATTATGTATTTTTTCTTTGGTTGGCTTAATTCGTGTTGTTTATGTTATAAATAAATTTTGATATTTCTGCAAATTCCGGGCAAGGAAAACAAATAATTGGGAGAGATGGCCAACATTGAGTGCCGTTGTATGTGGAAAAGAGAGAACACTATTTCAGTAGACAGTGGCGCTTGATTGGTTTTATAAAGGGCCATAAGACATACAAATTGTTTGCTTTAATAATTTTTTTATATTGTATTACATTTTAAAAAGGATTTGATATATTGATGGTTTTACAACGGACTTTTCGTATAGTAATTTCAGATAAGAAGAGTTCGGTTGAATAGCTTCTATAAGATAATATATCAACTAGTTATTTATCAAAAGAGGAAACTGAAATTATTTTGAAGCAATATAAGTGTCTTAAGGAATTTTAGCCCTCAAAAATACTCCTCCCCCTTTTGGCGCGCCTCTTGTTGTAAAACTTAGCTTTTAGCAATTGTTGACTGTATTTTCCGCAATCACAAAAAACAGTGAGCGAAAGGGAGGCGGCGAGGGTGGCGGATTGCCTTTGATGACGCCGTCGAAAAATTGTTAACTACGACGCAATTCAGTTTACTCACATTCTGTGTTTTCTGCCACATTTCTTTTTTGTTCGTGTTTGCTGATACTTTTCATGTTTTATATGCACTTTGTTGGTTTTCCGGGCGGTGGGACGCCGAATTTTCCGGCAGGACACTTTTGGCCAGAGCCCTTAGTCCTTGGGCAAAAACTGTTTTATTCTCTGGATATTTTTTAAAAGTTTTTTTTTTTTGTTTATTATTTAATTATTTATTTATTAGCTTGGTGAGAAAAGGCAAATGCGATCGGTTGAAGGTGCCGCTGTTCAATGTCGCCGCTTTTTCGTCTGCCATGGAAAGTTCTCGCCTCTGTCGCAGCGCAGCCGTTGTCGCTGCCTCGGCCGGCGTCTACGTCGACGTCGACAGAGTTTCTATCTTCTAGCGAACACTCTCTCTTTCGCTCGCGCTCTCTTTCGTCAAGTTTTTCGATTCTTCCTGTTCCTGTTTCTTGGGCCTGCTTTTGGGCAGTCTTCCACTTTTGCCCTACTGCCCCACACACCTCTCAAAAACCCGAAAAGCACATGTGACGAGACTTGACTCTCTCCGTGATGGCCTTCAAACTGGCTCTCTCGCTGGTCGCTCTCTCTACTCTCTCTGCCATTCTTTCATTCATTATTCTCCTCCCCATTCTCATCCCTAAAATGTGTGCTTGCAACTCACTTTTGCTTTTTGCGGATTCCTGTTTTTATTGCGATGCTTTTTTTTCTAGTCGAAGCTAAACAAAACAAAAAGCTGAAAAACAATTTTAAGGGTCCGGTGGGGTTAACGAGATCCTCATCCCTTGATCCCAACGAAAAGCTCTGCGGAGCTTTGAGAGCTCGAGCAAGGAATACATAGACGTTTTCAATTAGGTTTTGACTATTTCAATAATTTAAATTTTTAAGAGTAGGAAGGATTATAAATAAAATGTAATCCAAAATGAAATTGGTTCTTTATTTTTACTCTTTATGGTCTATAAAAGTAGTAAGTGGCCTTGAAAGTTTTAATTTCGACTTGAATATAAGCTACAAAATAATTTTGCTAAATTTTTAGTATTTTTTATAAGAATATTTTTTATAAGAATATGACTTAAATGTTCGGTACAAATACAATAATGCTACTCACCTCTTAAAATCTTTGTTGATTTTATGTTCTTCTGCCAAAGAATTTTTATTTTTAATTGTATTTTCACAAATAATATTCCAATTTCCTTTTTTTAATATTCTATCATTTTCATGTAATAAGAACTCACTGGTTTGGGGCACGTATTTAAAATAGTTGTGAAATGCACTTGCATTTTGAAATCCATTTCTCTCTTTCTCTTTCTTCCGTTCTTTATTTCCGTGATTCCGGAGCGCACTATAGAATGCAGGTTAAATGATTTTAATTATTTTGGGCAAGGAATAATTTATATTTATTTTGGCTTGAGTATTTTTTTTTTTAATTTGACAAGCACTTGTAGTAGAATTGAACACAATTAATTTGCAATTATTTTGCATTGTTGTTTGCTTTCGTATTGTGATTGGGTTGGTTCTGACAAATTCAATTTAGCTGTTGATGTCATTTGCGTGTCTAATTTGTAACAAATAAAAGGGGAATTGTTTGTTGGCTTTTTTGTGGTATTAAAGTACTTTTTGTTGTGCTTAGAATTCTTCTGGTTCCGATTGGAGATTTGCTGGGAATGGAGCGTTGTTGGCAGCTCGCCTGCCGCACTTTCAATGCCAACGCGCAGCCCAGCAGAAAATGGCAGAGCCGTCGTCGTCGTTTGCTAAAAAGCCCGAAAGCTTCCGATGCGAAGAGAGGAGAGAAGAAACGAGCCAGTGTGGAGGGGAGCGGATGAGGGGCAAGAGAAGAAAGGGGGGGTCCAGAAGACAGCTATGGCTATGTGGCGAAAGGAACCGAGCGTCCTGCTGTCAGAAAAAAACATGTACATATAACATATAGCATTTAAAAAAGGAACACTGGCAAGCCCAGCTCAAGTTCAAGGATGTTATGTAATAGAGCGAGGAGAGAGTGTAAGTGCAAGCCAGTAAGCAGCTCTCTCGCAGTAACACACACGTGCATCATCTGATCCCCTTTCGCTTTCTCGCTCGCCCTCGCTATCGCCATCTCCCTCTGGCCCGTTCTTTTCTCCTCCTCCCTCCCTCTCGTTCCCTTCGCTTTCATGTACTTGCAGTTTAAGTTGTGCAGTCTGCCCTGACGCGTCTTGTTTTCTGCCCCTGCACAGTGGTTACCCGCTAAAAGAGGACAACTGGGAAGTGGTTTACTGTATCTTGGTATTTGGCGTCCCCATAAACACCTTTTATACTTTTTAAGAGATACTGATAAAAGTTTAAAATGTATACATATGTGTGTATGTACATATCGCAACTTTAAAATTTTATTTTACAATAATATTTAATCTTAAAATATAATAAAACACAATTTTTTAAAACGGTCAAAAATGTCATTTAAATTCAATATTCTTTAACATTTTTAATTTTATAATTTTTTTTTCTGCAATCAAACGATTGAGCTCGCACTTCCACTGTGTGCCCACTGTATGTGCACTAAGTTCGCTGTGTATCTGCTGGGTCTGGGCTTTTCGGTTCGAGTTCTGGGCCTGGGCAGTGAATTGTATATAATTAGCGCATTTATTGACTAACTGCCGCTTGCAACACAAATTGTTCGTAGCAACAAGAGCTGACGAGTGATATGATGAAAGTACAATAATTACTTGGCTTACTGGCCCTCCCAAGTATACGGACATTTGCTACCACTGTATGTATATCTGGGTAGGTAGGTATATGTAGGTGGGACCTGATAATACCTATATATACACAATTCACAGTCATGCGATTTCGATTTCGATTGACAAATGTGCGTGTGCTGCAATTGTGTACCGACTAAGCTCCAAAAATCTTCTACCACTCTCCACTCTGTATTGGGTTTGGTTGCATCCCGTTTTCGCCTTTCCTCGATGATTCTCTCTTTCTAATAGCACAATTTTAATTTCTTAATTGAATTTGTTTGGGGCGCAAGTATATGTGTGTTGCTGAGAGAGCGCTGTTCGCCATGTTTGTTTAATTGTTTAATTAAATTAAATACCCTGACTGCAACTATTGCATACCTCGGCACTTTGTAACAGTCGCATCCGCAGATGTATCGCAAGAAACGCTCATAGGTGCCATATTTTCAGGTAAATATACATATATCCTAACGATGAATAACTACTATATACTTATATCTATATCACCGCCTCGGCTATATGCAACAGATGTTAGTGCATGTCGGGCTGGGGACTTTCATAACTTACCAATTCGTGCGCCGTTTTCTTATTTCTTATGTCATGCGCACCGCGCCGCTTTAAAGGGTACTCGGATACAGATACAGATACAGATACAGATACAGATACAGATACACACACGCGGATGCACTGGCACACACCGAAGCTTATATAGTGGAAAATATATAGACCCATATGTATAACTGTTCGGCCGATACACACACAGCCATGGTTTGCACTTCCACAAGCACAGTGACCACCGACTGTTTGTGCCCACTTTTCCTGCGAGTAGCAGAGGAAAGTTTTCTCTCATCAGCACTGTGGGGAAATTGTGGGCTAAATTGCATTACATCCTACGAGTGAATTTCGTTAAAGCTTGTAATCTTTAATCCAAGCTGAAAAGGGCTTTAAATATAATTCAAAGGAATTTTCTGGTAGTTAAAATAAAATCAAAAGTATTTCCTACTTGTACGAAATCAAACACTTTTAAAATTACAAATAAGATTAAAGTTCCCTGATGTGCCATACAAAACTTCCTAAAGTTGCTAAAGATTGATCTAACATCTAGGCTATACAAATAATAAATATATTTTATTTAGTAAACGGAAATATTTTCCAGTTTATATACAAAAAAAAAAAAAAACAAGTTATTAGATTTGAGTGGATAGTTTTATAAATATAGAAAGAATTCGTAAACTACATTTTTGGACTTGTAAAGCAATCAATAAATAATCATTAAAATCGGAATATCAAGAAAACGTCAGATATGAGAAATTTCGTCGAAATGCCCATTTGCTACTAAAAATAACCAAAGCTGAGCTCAGTAGCGCTCGAAATTGGTTGCCCGGCTATAAACCAGATTTAAATGCACACACATATGTATTTATATCTCGTACGAAAGTATATATTTCTATATAATACTTGCTGTCGGACCGAGCTTATAGTGCATCTAATATAGAATGTGTATGCTTTGGGGAAAACTGTGCCAGAGTGGGAGGGTAACATTTCACCAGCACTGTGTAGGTAGCTACTGATTCTGCTGCTGCTGCTGCTGCAACAACCGCCCTTTCCCTTCACCTTTTCCCTTATTTGCAGCGCATGACTGTAGTAGGTGACCTTGACAGTGAACTTGAAATACATGCTACAAGGATTCATTTTTGGGTACGTATGTGTGTGTGTGAAACGCTGTGGAATGAAACGGATAACTGAGAGAGAGAGAGCGAGAGAAGGAGAGAGCTTTTGCTTAAACCGAGCTGATAGTGCAGCTGTGTGAGGGAGGTGAATTGGCTGTATACCAGTATATAGCTGGGATGAATCATCGCTACTTGCGACATTTTGTCTGCAGTCGATGTTTGTGAAATATGTGCCAGAAATTTCGCTTTCTTGTTTCGCCGTTTTGAAGGGGAAATCAGAAATAGAGAGTGAGAGGGAAGCTTTATGCAACGGTAAACCTAATGGCGAGCATATGTTGGCCGTTGCAATGGGCGGACGGACAAGTGTGCCAAATGGTTTACATTTACATTCCCATTCCCATTTCGATTTCGATTTCATTTGCTATTTTCTGGCATTCCCCTAGTCTGCAGTGACTTTGATATTGTGCATTCAACTTTGACATTTGTTTAAGGGTTTATAGCGCTGGATGATTTTATGGATGATTTTATGTATGCGCTGACCCTTCAATCACTTCCCCTGACGAAAGCATTGCACGTTTCCTGAAAGATGGCTTAAAAACATTTACAATTCGGCAACATGGCGTATGGTTGATATCGAGCTTTATTCTCAAACTGGGATTTCCTTACTAGAAGAGACAGCCGTGACCCAATAAATTTAAATACACAAGCTAATAACTTTTCTTAACTAATATAAAATTAACCCAGACGCCAAAAATGGCCAGCGACTTAGCCAAATTTTTAAATGGCAATTAATCAACATGCTTTTCAAGCATGTAAAATGTTATTTTCAAAACCAATTAACACGAACACTCACCCACAACAGCTGATGCACAAACACACACACACACCTATAACCCAAATAAACCGAGAAAAATGCTGTTGTTAAACTTATAAAATAGAAAAAGGCAAAAAAAACGGTGAAACTGAAATTTGTATCTGTGCGATAATGAATATATATGTACATATATAGGCAAGCTGCGATAGAAAGATGCAAACGTAGGCAGAAAACATGCGATACAAGTTGTTAGAACACGGAGAAAAATCTATATAAAGTAATGACGATAAAGTCAAAGATTGTATTGTATATTAGTAAAATTATTATATTTGTATAATTAAATATTTCTGGGATTTGCCACAACTAGGACAAGAAACCTTAAATACTCTTCCAAGTCTAGGTAACATTCGTTGAGGCGTAACTTAAGTGCAATAAAATGAACAACATTTTAGTAAAGATATTTATGTATGTATATCAGAACAACGAAACATTTCGGAAACTTTTTCTCCCGGTGATATTCAAAACGGAAATGCTTATGTAGGTACCTGAATAGTTTGTCAGGTGGATTAATTCGAGGGCAAGGGGAGCTAGAAACATGAAATTGCATTTGAAAATTCAATTATTTTTGGTAGTTTTCCATATCTGCCAAAAGAGAATGAGAGAATGAAAGAGAGGGAGAGAGCGCATCACATGAGCGATTTGTATGTGTATGCGGTAACCTTGAGATTGTTAGTTGGCGCTGGAGGGAGATAGCCTGCGGCAGAGGGAAAAGGAGAACGAGATAGCGCGAGAGAGGGGGAAATGCAGTTGCAAATTGTTCTTGTGTGCGTTCAAACTTTTCGCTTTGGCACATTTCTTTGCGACGTCTGGCCATCTCGCTCGCACACACTCGCTATATCCCTTGCCTAGCATCTTGTTGTTGTTGTTTGTTTTTCGCTCGGTGTTTTGTTTTTTCCCTTTACTTTTTCGCTTTTCTAGCGCAAATGCAATTCACGTTCAAGGCCATGCCACATATATAGGTATATATTTATATATATATCCCGTTGTGTGTGTGTCAGTTGTCAACTATATTTTTTTAGTACAGCCACAGATACAGATACAAAAACCAGGCACAGCTACACTTACACACACATACTCACACAAGTACAAGTGCACACAATCAATAAATTGCAACTTCTCAGTTACATACATATATCTCTCTTCCGTTCCTGTTCTTTTTCTTTTTTTTTTTTGGCGCCTTTGTCTTTGCCTTATCGTCGCTTGTCTTTTCACTTCGTGTTTGCCAAACATTAAAGAAAATAATGAAAGAAAAGGCAAAGGGGAAAACAATTTCAGCCAAGCGCTTTTCCTAATAAAAATAAACAAAATTGCACAATTTACAATATATTTTTCGATTCGCTGTTATACAGCCATATCCATATACATTGTATTTTGCCGTATCCCCATATATTATACATTGACCCATTGATTGGCACTCACTTTGCTGTTTCTCAATTTATATGATAAGATATTGCAGAAATGATTGGTTACCCTGAAATCGCTGTCTAAAGATTTAAACGCATAATTTTCCACTCTACTGCATCATTTATTGCACCCAAGAGCCAAATCATATTGCTCATCTCAACCCCCTTTATGACCCCTCTGGTATTATATAAATTGCTGTCAAATGGCAATGAGAATGCCATGCAATCAAGCGTAAACTATAGAGAAACATCAATTATGGAAGATGTTAAGACGTGTGGGCTTAATTTAATTTTTGCTTATCATAATAATACTGGAGAAGTGACGTTAGTCATTTTTAACGGGGCATACGTTACGTTATACGATTTGGTTATATTTTAATTATTAATAAAAAAGAAATACTATACAACTAGTACCAAACTACTCAGTCTTAAAAATACTCGTATACTTACACCTTACGAATTCTAAATCATATTTGTTTTATAAATTGCATGTCAGTGAAATTGCCATCACAAATTACACTAACTTGTTATCAGAACGAAACACGCACTTCTCCTCAAAATTGAAGTCTTTGTTTTGGGATAAAGAGCAGGATTTAATCCGAAAGGAAGTTTAGTGTGAGATCCAAACAATAAACGGAACTAATTAATTTTAACCAAAGCAGCCGGAGGACTGTGCGTTGCACTTTATTTCAAGCGTTCATTTTAATTGCATTATAACAAATAATACGAAATTAGATGGGCAATGTTTTTGTAATTCACATTAGGCGTATTAAGTTAATGTTAAATTGGGTATTTCAAATACTGGGCTCTGTATATTTTACCCCTGAAAATGTGTCAAGGAAATTCCTAGCTTCTTGCCATATGGAAAGCGAACACGGAAAATGTTTTAGGCAGGCGCCGTTGGAATGCAAACAACACTCGATGATGAGAAATGCTATTTAAGGGACAAGGTCACGACTGTGGTGGGTCGCTCTCTCTTTTAGTCTCTTGCATATGATGGGGGAGCCACCCACTTTAACGGGTGTGGAGTGGGCGTGGGCGTGGTCGGGGTTGTATTCGTGGGCGTGGGCGTGGGCGTGGGCAGATGCAGCAGCAGCAGCAGCAGCAGCAACATCAGATGGAGCTGGCTTGGCATCCTGCAAAGGCATTGACGTGGGCCAGTCAAAGTGACCCATATGCGTCACGCCCGTCGACTTCCTGGGCGCTGTTGCCAGTCAAAAGCACTGTTCTTGGCCAAGTTCTCGGGTTGTCGGATTCTCGGGTTCTGTAGTTCTCTGGTTCTCGGCTTCCTGCCTCGATGGATGCTCTAACTTGACGGCCACTCGCCGCTAATTGCATCCTGCGGCGCTTGTCGGGTGCAAAGGAAATGCCATTTCCGCTGCACATGATTTGGCCGAAGGACTGCGTCTAATTCTTTGTAAGCCGCACCAGATTTCACCAGCTGTTGGCATATTTTATTTGTTTTAAAATGTTTTCCATTTGAGATTGTCTAAGAAAGTGAAAAAGTCATAAAATGCTTTAGTCAATAAACCCAATTTGTTTATTAATAGCATTTTGGGCTTGTTAAAACCAAACTTGTATGTTGTAAGAAATTAAGTTAGTGTGATAAACGTTAAAGCAGAATTAATTATATTTTTTTCTGAGAGGGTTGAGATTAAACAAGAATAAAATGTTTTATCAGACAGTATTAACTTGGTTAACTATGTATTCCTTTCTGAGTTGTTATGTAAATATAGCTAAATTTAAAGTAAAAAAAAATTCTTAATGAAAAAAATGTTAATTGGATTTAAAAAGCACTTTAGAAATGTATAGTGATTATTAAAAAAAATGCATCACGGATATTTCTTAATGAGAAACAAAGACTTTTTGACAAGCAAAACTTTTTTTTTATAATAGTCGTTCTCTTTTGTTATCAGAAAATAATATTATATTGAATTTTTTTCCAGAAATTTAATTTTACCGTAGGATCATGATATCATACCTTTTCTAAGGTCTTCACAATTCACCAACAGGTGGCGTTGCAGAAAGCTTACCCACAAGCTCACTCAATAAACGAACCTTTTTGAAAGAGGGGTGAAATCAGAGCTTTTCTTACTTCCCTTGCAACAGAAACTTACCCCAAAATATGGAACACAATCTTAGTTGCCGCACTTGTCATCCATTCCACCTCTATGCTTTGATAGAGGAGATGGGAAGCTAGTATTTAGGGACACCCACACTACCACCCCATAGGTTACGCATACGCAACGTGGGCTGCTGTTTGACAGGCAAAATCACAGCATGATTGAAAAATTACTATTGAAATTGCTCAGCCATTTCCGCAAGTCAAGACCGCTGGCAAAACAAACAGATGAATGGACAAACCGATAATCAAAGTGATACCCGAGCGAGTGCCATTGTCAGTTGAGTGGGATTCAAATTGAAATTGTGACAGTTCCGCCGGGGGAAAACTGACCACATGTCAATGCAAAGCAACTTCAAAGCGACGAAATGACGGACGTGGTGGGCGTAGTGGGCGGGCTCGGGGGCCGGGTCGTAAATGCAGGCTAATGGCAGGTAATTGAGGCAACAATTTCGCATTCGCATAACTGGCAAATGAACAAACCGTTGCCGTCCTGTGTGAGCCAATTTAATTGGGCGAGAATTCATAAGTGAAATAGTTTGCCGAATGGGGTGGTTATTGAAAACGTCATTTGAATGCCAAATGACAATTAGTATGTGCCGTTTGCCGGGCCAAAGGACATCCCGTCCTGCTGACAAGTCGGGCAGCTTTATCAAATCAATTGTGGCCCACACAATCGAATGTCCACGTGAGAAATAGTTAATGACCAAAGCCGAGACGTTTTTGACCCCTCAAAACAGCAATTGAACTCGGAATTCGCAATGCAATGCATTGGGAAAAATAAAAGCAACTTAAGCCGTATTTGATTGTACTCAACATTGATGGATATTCTGCAAATTGTAAGCTTTTAAATAGATTAAAATCATTTCTTTTAACTAAGTAAGCGTAACTTTTTCTCCAAATAATTTGCATGAATTCCAAAAATTTTCTGACTTGAAGAAGGAATGAGATATTATTACCTAGTGTCGGAACTATTAAAGAATATATTTTAATTTATGTACTGATCCAGACCAATGCATGGAAAAATCAAACGATTTTTAAATGTTGTAATTACTTAATCAAATACTTTAGAAATGGGTTTTTAATATAGGTCTTGAACTAAAAACTAAACTACTGGCACATAGAAGAGTATATTTAAAAATCATTGTATTTTTATTTTATAAAAATCATGAATAAACTAATAAATAACATATAGATATTCTTATTAAATTATTAAAATAATTTTTCCATAAAATTTCTTTCTCTGTGTTTTTGCATTAGTTGACACGCCAATTAGTGCATTTATAATTCATGACGTGGGTTAATTGCTACACTTAAGCCCAACTAAACAACCAACGATTGGGGGCTGTAAGACCTTTAAGACGAAACCAAACCTTATCTTGAACAACAGATAGCAGATAAAGTTGTTTATGGTTAAGTTCTCTGGCTGTGAATCAGTTTAGGATACAGCTTGGCGATGGTAACGACACAGCGGACCAAAGAACTGTGCCAAACAGTTCGGCTGAAGTCTACACAAGTGTTTATTGTGGCCGGAACATGTTTGGTTACGTTGCTGGTCTCATTGGTCTGCATTGGACTTATGACCCGATACGAGGTGCAGAACGAGGTGGCCAACGTGGCGGATGTGGACTATTGGAAGGACAAGGTGGCGCCCTCGCAGAAAATCTGGTATGATAGTGGCATTGAGGAGCTCAACGAGGCGCTGAGATCTCCTTCGGGTCCGATTTACCCCAAAAACGTAAGGATATTTCTGGTTCAAGGTGTCGATGGCAGAGACTTGGCTGCATATAGATTTTTCGCCAAAGATTTTAGCCATGGAAATACGAACTTTGTTTGGGATCAGTTTCCCCATTTGGCTCGCTTGAAGAACAGCTGCACTCAACAGATTCCGTGCGAAGTCGCTAGAGTTTCCAGAGCATTCTGGGCGGGAATACCTTTGGAAAGAGTCCATCGATTTCAGCCAGATTGCGGGCACTTGGCCAATGCAACGGATAACGTGCTAAGTGTTCTTCGCCAGGCTCAATTAGTTGGTTTGCGTACAGGCTTTGTGACCACTCAAAGGATTACAGGTGCCACGGCAGCCGCGCTCGGAAATACCAACTCCAACTACGAATGCGATGAACGAATGCCTCTGGGCTCCTCCAAGTCCGGCTGTCAGGATATAGCACGTCAGCTAATTTCTGGCGAGACTGGTCGATCATTCAACGTAATCATCGGTGGCGGCAGGCAAATGCTCAATAGTGTGGTTCCCAAAACCAGATCGGACCCTGTGGATGAACTTCTCTGCGAGTCCAGCGATGGACGCAATCTGCTCAAGGAGTGGAGAAGCCACAAGCTCAGGGAGAGCAAAATCAGTCCAATAAAATTTGAATTGATCCAGCGAACCGATGAACTGGAGTCCTTGAATGCCAGCAACTTTGACTTCCTGTTGGGAGTAATGGCAAATGGAGATTTGAGTGGGAATGCCAAGGCTCCAAGTCTAAAATTAATGGTGGAAAGATCACTGCAAGTCCTGAAAAAGCAAGACCAAGGCTATCTACTGATAGTGGAGCAGTTTATTCAGTCGGACATGGACAAAAGAAAGCAGCTGCAGCTGTTAAACGAAACGCTGGCTGATCTTCACACGGATCAGGATACTCTAACTCTAGTTCTCATTACCAATGCAATCTATCCACAACCAATCCTGGATGTGAGCGAAGAAACAGAGACAATCAGCCACCTGCCGGAGACTTTTAATGAGGCGGAATATCAGCTCCAACAGAGACTACACCAAATGCCATCGGAGAGCCTACTTTTTGCTCGGGGTAAATTGTTTTCTTTAACTAGAAATATCGGCCTAAGCTATCTTTTAATATTCTGCAGGACCCAAGTCTTCCATTTTTCATGGTGTTCGAAAGGAATCCTTCCTGGCACACGCTGTATCCCATGTCCTAAGCAAAAGTAGAGCTAATCCTTGACACTTTAGGGCCTCTTATAGTTTTTCCTGACAAATAACCATCTCTAAAGGAATTGCTTAAAGAAATGTATATTTAGTAAGTATACGAAACATTGTGAAAATAATTGTAAATAAATCAAGGCTGTGAAGTTATCTGAACCAAAACTTATGTATTTTAGTCAGCCTCAAACCAAATTATTAACTGGATGGAAAAAAATCAAAGCTAAACATCTAAAAAAAAACTTTAGAGATAGTGATTTATTAAATAAATTAAATAATTTTCTAATTGAACAGTATAATTTGAATAATATAATTTGTTTTGCCTCAAAGTCCTCAAAAACAAATCAAAAGTTGTGATAAATTATATGCAAATAATAAGCTCCATAATAAAAGTCCCCATTAAAAGACTAGCTCCTCTTTTGATTGATTTATTAAACTTTAACTAGAGATTGTTGATTCAATGCTTCTAATAGTTGGTAAGTCACATGATAACATTGCCGCCGGACTCGACAGGTGTTGCCGTGGCAGTTGCAGTTGCATTTCCCGTTGCAGTTGCACTTGCAGTCAAAGGAGCCACCCAATTGAAGGCGTGGCAGCCGGAGGACACCGCCGCGGATGTTGCCACTTGTCTGCTGGTCGCCGTCGCCGCCGGAGCTCCTGTTGCAGTTGTTGTGGCAGCAATGCGGGGCACAGGCCGCAGGACATTCGTATTGGGATTGGGTCATTTGACCGGCAGTGGCGGCATCAGCGTTTGGGCCACATTCGACAATTGCCTCAGGTGATTGGCCTGCACATATTGGAAGGCCGAGGAGCGCTCCAGATGCTGTGATAGGTAGAATTCTCCAAGCGAATAGAAACGCCGCTGGTCGAATGGCTGAAAGGGAAAGCCGGGAAATCCCCGCTGACCAGCCCCGTAGTTCTTACCATTCGGGGGCGGGTAGAGGGGCATTCCCTGCGGTGGGCGTGGCATGGAGTTGTAGGGTGTGACAGCAGACACCGCCTGTCCACCTGGCGTCTGCTGCAGCTGGACATGATCGGTCAGTTGGTGGCTATTAATGGCCATCTGCTGCTGCTGTGCCTTGAAGAAATCGAGGCTCTTCAGATTATCCAGCATCTGATGGGAGACCTGGTGTTTCTTTAGGTAAGCTTGCCTGTTGACGAACGGTTAAAAACCGAATAAATACGATTTGTATAATTAATAGACCTTCTTAAAAGGATACCCAAATATAATGGATTAAGTTTTTTTTTAAGGACAACAAATTTTATATTCTCTTTTATATTGCATTAAACGAGTATTTTACTTATATGAAAAAGTTATACTGAAAGTGTTTCTTACTATATTACCTTCTTCAACATTCTCTTAAGCTGATTATCATTTTCACATATTTAAAATATAAATATTATATTTTTGCCTTTAATGCCGTACAAAAAATTATTCCAAGGCATAAGGAAAACCTAATTGTATACTTTAATTAGTTCCTTAAAACACTTACTTTTCAATTAAATAATTAATCAAATAATTTTATAGTTCTTTAAAACGTAAATACTTTTAGATGTTTTAACTGATTTGCAATTTTTATAACAAAGAATGTAAATATATACATTATTTTACATTAGATTATTAAGTCGTATGTACTAACTTTATTAAGTGATATAAAAACGGGTGTGTGACTAACTTACCGTCTGAATGTTTTTCCGCATATGGGGCAGGGATATACGCCATCGCTGGCATCGTCGCCACCTCGTCCAGACTCCTGCGTAAGATCTGCCGTGTCGACAAGGCGCTTCTTGCTGGGATTACCTGAACCGCCGCCAGCGTCTGCTTTGGGTTTGTGCCATCGGCGATGGGAGGCCAAGTTGGCCGGGCAATTGAAGACCTGCAAAGGGATTAGGTTTTTAGCCGACTGGAGGGGAGCTGCTGTGACCAGCCACAAACCTTCTCGCACTCGGAGCACTTGTACTCAATGTGGACGATGCGGGGACAGCGGTGCTGGGCCAACATGAAGGCGTCGTCGTAGACGGTGCGACAAAGCTGGCACATGTAGTCGCCAATCTTGTTGTCGATGCTGGCCAGGATGGCCTTGGCCTCCTCGGTGATTTCGACCACGTTGAAAGCCGGATCAATGTCGCCTTTGCGCACCACCAGCTCCTCGTCGTCGCGCAATTTGCGGATGATGGTGCCGGAGACGGGGCTTATGGTCTCCTCATCGATTGCCGTATGTTTCCGGAGTTTCGACTTCTTGCGTTCGGGCTTGTGGGGTCGCATTGGTGGTAGAAGCGGAGCAGGAGCGGAAGCAGGAGCGGAAGCAGGAGCGGGAGCAGGAGCAGGAGCATGCGGATGAGCATGAGGATGAGCATGCGGAGGAGCATGCGGAGGAGGAGGTGGTGACAGGCCGGGCGAACTAGTATCCCCAATCTCCACTGTTGCCACGCCACTCAGATCCGTGTAGGTTTTCCCGCTGTTGCTCTGCACTTCCGCCAGTTCACCAACATCCACCACTGGCTCTGGGAAATCGCGCTCAAAGAGTCTGGCCAGACCATCGACGGCCTGGTTGTGAAGCGTCTCATCCTCGTACAGCAGTTCGTTGCGCTTCAGGGCCGTAGTCTCCTGGAGTTGGGCCTGCAATCTTGTGGCCGGGTCCACCGCCTCACCCTCATCCTCGTCGTCATCATCGCCCAGGACATCTACGAACACCTCCTCCTCCTCATCATCCTGGGCATTATCGCTGACTTGAACTTGCAGTGTCACATCGTCGCCCTCGTTGACTTCCTCCGTGTCCGTGGCGTACTCATTGTAGTCATGGGAACTGACAACTGTTTCATCCTCGTCCTCGGTCAGCACAATGGTCTCATCCTCCACGTAGATGGGCGAGCTGACGCTCGATTGACCCGCCGGAATTTGCTCTAAGTTATTTTTCTCCCCGTGAAAATGACTTTTATTAAAGGAAGCGCCCTCAAAGTTGTTGCGTATGGCATATGGCTGATGATGTTGCTGTCGCTGCTGTTGCTGTTGCTGCTGTTGTTGCTGATGTTGCTGTTGCTGCTGTTGCTGTTGCTGCTGTTGCTGTTGCTGCTGCTGATGATGATGATGAAAGTAGCTACTGCCTGGCTGCATTGCAAGGGCCGAAGGAACATTAACTGGAGCCGCCGGACTTGCCATGTGCGGACGCCACAGGTAATTCTCCTCGGACATTAATCTCTGGCGCTTGCGGGGCGGCGAGGGCGTCGATGGTGGAGTAATTGGCACCACACTGGCCGCAGCCCGCAAGGAAAGATCCAGAGGGGAGAGCAGCGAAATTGCCGGACGATGCTGGCCAAATTGCGGAAATGTCTCGTTGATTGCTGGTAATGCTCGGCACTCGACGAAGTGGGTGGTGCTGGGGTGGCCTTGAAGCAGCCCGGGCAGTTGATGATGCTGGCCCAGATGCGGCAGCGGCTGGAGTTGGGAATGCGGGTGCGGGTGCGGGTGCGTCGGCGGATTCATGTTCATCATTTTACTCCCTTTTCTATTGCGTTTTGGTTGTGCCGTCAACTCCTTGGAGTTTCATTTGAAGTCTTACATTCAGTGTTATTCTTCGACAATAAATTCCTTAATGCAAGCTTTGGATAAGATTTAACTGAAATATAGATTGTCATATATTGTTTTTTGAAAATTAAATATTTAAAAACATATATCTAAAATTCAGAGAAACTTCAAATTATATAATACATAAATATATATTTAAATTTTAATAATAGTAATAGTAGTTTTATAGAAATCAGACGAATTATAGCTGCCATAAAAAAGAAATATAGCCGCTTAATAATATCTGCAAAGGTAGGTATATGAACATCGACTTCTCAAAGTTCGATTTCTTTTTTTTAATTAAATATTTGTATGGAAATTTCTTTCAATTCCTACTTTTATATTACTTCTAAATGTAGTATCTTAGACTTCTTAATGTACACTATGAATAACACACTAACAATTAACCATTAAAATTAAATAGATCTAAAAGGATTTTCAAATTTCACCTTTGAGTACTTAAACTAACGCCAGAAGTAATTTTGATTTTTATAGCACTTATTATTTCACAAAATTCTGATTTGAAAATCTTTTGTTTTAATTGAAGTTCAATTATATATATTTTTCATAATTTTCTTTGATTGCTAACAGCTTTTCATAAATTTAGAAATTTTAATAATAATTTGATCAATTTTTATGACACCTTAACACTGCACTAATGTACCAGAGACTTTTCCGAAAGTCTAAGGACTTTCCTGTTTTAACTCAAGGATTTTCCGAGACACGCAACTGACCCGCGGCAGGCTTCAAAGAGAACTGAACTGCGGACGGTCACCTGTCGCAATGCTGCGTGCTGAAATTGGGTTTGAATGCGAAGCCAATGAAAGGCAGCTCAGAGCGAGCACCCACCACCCATCCCCCACCCACAGTGCCACCCACCCACTAGGTCACCCACATTGCTGAGCGGCATGTGCGGCTCTCGCTCGCACCTTGCGGCGGAATCCTGAAGCGGCCTGCTCTGGGATTCGCCGGGCGGATGACATAGCTCGACAATCCCACCCCCGGACACCCACGCATTTGGGATGCGCATGCGCGGACACGCCCTCCGCTGCAGGTCCACCAGGGGGCGCCGCTAAAATCTTTCATCTGTTGCTCCGCCGGGGGCACGCTCATTGGCAGCCCGTGCCCCGCCATGCCACGCCCCATCCAAAGTCCGGAATGGAATGTCATTGAATTGCAGATGAAGAATTTCATTGCACTGCGTTGGAGTTTTTCCCACCCACTCCAATGGGGTTTGGGAGGGGGGTGAGAGTGCCTTGGGGCGTTGGCAGGTGAGTGCTCCTTTTGTTGCCAGCCCCAGGTACCTTTATGCTCTGCTCATCAGGTCCCGTCAACCCCACCCTCATGGCATCACCATGGTCAGCCTTGTTCAGACATTTTAAGAACCAAAGGATTCTTTTTGTGGTTTTGAAAATTTAATGTAGCTTTCCTCTTCCTGCAAGCGATTTTTCAAAATGGCGTCAGCTTTTGGCCAAAAAATTAAGAAAATCAGTGGCATCCAACCAGGGCTCCAAAAAAATTACATAAATGGTAGCGGAATTATATACATTTTATATGTGGTTTTATAATAAAATACCGAACTAGTCTATTTTTTTTTATTTGTGATAATAAATATACTTAAGAGACATAGTAATTTAAATTAAATTCTTTAAATATTAAGACACAAATAAAAAATAACAATTTTCGATTATACAAAATTTTTAAATTGGAATATTGTTTCTACTTTAAATAAAAACGTAATAATAATAGCTTATTAATAATTAATTAACAAGATCTTATTTTATTTAGAGATATACATTTTGAAAAACTACAAAACTAGTCTAGCTTGTTTTTGTTTTTGATAATCATATATATATAAATGTTTATGCTGACTAGAGTTTTACATTCTCCTGTTTTTAGTAATCTTTGCCTGTTCATCCCTGCCATCAATTGCAACTGAATGCAATTAATTAGAGAAACGTTCTACAAAAACTTAATTAAATTGTTGCGTCGCGACGCCATCAGCAGCAACCTCGTCCGCAGCAGCGCCAAAAACAATTCCGACTAATAAACTGAAATTAAATTACGAACTTTTATACTCCGTCGCACAACCGAATAAAGAAGCAGCTTGCCAGCTCACTAAAGGAGGAAAAATTGTGAAAAAAATGGCTTATTAAGTTTTAAGCCTGGCCAGAATCTATTGTGGCAACGAGGTCAACAAGTTTCAGTTTGCGGCTTTTCCCGGCCCTCGGCTAATTGTCAGCTTGTCAGGGGCTCATTAGCATAGCTGCGGCCTTTGTGAGTCCGCATGCTCGCCTGCTCCTGACACTGAGAACGAAGGATGACTAAGGAAATGTTCTTAACGAGAGCGCCAAACAGTTTCCACTCATTTGCATGAAGATTTCGCCGGCTAATTGCCCAGGTAGTTGTCGCTGCCAAGTTTCGGATTACACACGTAACAATTCGGAACGGAGCACCCCCAAACCTTGTGGTGCAAAACACCACGCCCCATCCCCTGGAAATTGCCATTTCTGGATCGGATCGGAGGGTTGCTTCACGAGTTGGTTGGTTGACTTGCGGTCGCCGGTGTCTGTTTACACAGCGAGGGTTGGGTAATGGGCTCTTAATTAGGCTCATGTGATTTTTGAACACGGATTTGCGTTTTGTTTGCCCATGCACTCAGAAATCGAAATAGAATACAATGTGATTTCAATAAAAAGTAAAATCTACCATAAAATATAGAAACATTATTTTAGTAACTAGTTATTAGTTTGAATGGGAAAATCTTTCAAAAAGGTATACAAAAATTCCGATTATTTTTTAATTAAAAATATTTATTTAAAATCCTTAAAATCCAAAAATTTGAAAAAAAGGTATTTTAAAAACAATTTAGTTTTTCAATAACCTAAAATATTATCTTTGTTGTAAGAAGTATTAGTAGAAAAAAGTTTAATTGATTAGGCTTGTTGTTTTTAAGCAACACATATTCTAAAACCTACTTTTTTTTTCAAGTGTGGAATTAGATTATAAACCGTACATAAATGCGCTTCATTGGACCGAAGCTCATATTGAATGCGATTGATAAACGTAAATAAAAAGATCTTATCTAGTAGGTAAGTATATAGTTGAGTCAAACATATCTAGTTCTTCAGCGATCAAATCCCAAATTCACCTCAACGTGGACTTCCACTTCGCCCCGCCAAACGCCATCTGTTTTCAAGTTGAATTTAAGTTTGTAAAAACCACTCGGCACGGGAACCTTAGCTATCATGTTGTCAGTCAGGACCATTCGGTTCACGATTATATCGTGCTGAAAATAAATGAAAAAATTTGATCATATAGGGATAGAAATAACCATTAGTTTTAATTATAAACTACCAACATTGTAGGGACAGCTGTGATTTATGTTGCTAAAATTCCGTATACCATCGTAGACTAAGTTGAAAAATGGAAAGCGTTTTCGGTTTTTCAGGAAGCTGCATACATCGACGGTTACATTATAGAGGAACGGTCTATAGCCATTGAACCTTCGGTACAAGGTTAGGACGCACTGAAAATGGCCATTAATTTTGGAACCTTGTGATACTTGTACTTCTACGAACCGTCGAAGTGTTAATAGGCAGTTGATTGGCCTGGGCATGTAAAAAAAGGCCCACAATGCCACGACCCAGAAGCTTAAGTTCACAGCGTTTGAGCTCGCAAAAAGACTTTTCATAGCATGTACACTTTATATTCGTGAATTTAAACAGAGCGTCCGAGTTGCAAAGTAAGAATATTAGAAGCACATATGACCACACACCGATCGAATAGTAATTGAGGTTCATCGCTGATCAGCAGTTCGCAGTTCACTGAATTCTAACAAAAATAAATCACAAAATGCGTTTGGTATTCATACCCTCTAAACGTAGAGTTTAAAGGGTATATGGCACTTGTTAAATATTATATAATAATATTTTATAATAAGTATAGGGATAACTTCCATATTAAATAATATAAGTTTTATACTTTTTAGTTTCATTTATCTACCGAAAAGTTAAAAACTATAGACTACGTTTGATATTTAACACTTTCGTGATTTTATTATTTTTGAGAAATTTTTCATACCTAGTAGTTTAAAATTCATTTACAAAATGTACAGTGAAGTCTCGGTAATCATAAGGGCTACAGAATTGGAATGGGTGCATAATAGTCGGGAAACGCGAATAAACTGAAACCAAAAGCTGATGAATCCGCTTTTCTAATACGTAAATAATTTATGGTTAAACTATCAAAATTGATTTTTTTATTTGCAAATAAGTAACATTAGTCGATTTGTAATAGTCAATGTACCGAATTAAACGCCAGAATCAAAGACAATGACAATGTTTATTGATGCTTTAAATACCAAAGCCTGAAAACGATCGGTTGGGCTTAAAGAATATATATATTTTTTAAATTATGAAGCAGAAACAACTTAATTTTGACCGAGTACCAGACGGATTGAAAGGCACTTTGGTATAACATTAAAGACTTCCTGTATGCCACGCAAAGGACAAAACGCTATTGACAAACCATGAACGCAACTGCACACTTCCCAGTCCCAGTCCAGTACCAATTTGAGTCGCCTCGTCGGAGACGTTGATGACCTTTGGGGGAAGACGAGACCCAAAGTCCTGGCCAGCAAAATGGGTCCTGCTGCGAGGGCCGGCTTTAATTAGAGTGGCATGGAAGTATGCCCGAGGCTCCGGCGCTCGATGCGATTCTTATGCAAATGCTTTTAATTACAAAACTGTGAAACTGAATTACGCAACATTGCGTTATTTAAGTGAATTATTTTGAGGCAGGTTCGTGTGTTTAATTGCCCAACTCAACGCCTTTTTAATTGCCACAAAAAGAGGGACTCGGCTCTAAAGTTGCTTTGAAGTCAGCTTGAAACTGAGTTTAACAGCAACTGAAAATCGATTTTGATTGAATCAATTTCTATATGCATCATTGTATTTGGCATGTTCCTGGACAAAAGCTAAGAAGCTCTAATTTCGATGACCTGTCCCATCGGATTAGCTGAAGTATTTCGCCGTCAAGCGCCAATTTCACTGTGCTATTGACCTCTCCCCTGTTGCCAAATCGAAATTGAAAATATTCCCCCCGCCAACGGAGGCTAATAGAAAATGTTTATAGATAAAAAGGCGACAAATTGAATTTGCAAAGGTCACACATAAGTGCGACACTCGATAGCAGGCATTGGCACTTCACGTGAGTACCTCCCTCCCAAGTTTTTCCCAAGTTGCAGGAATTTTCCCTTCGCCGCCTGTCGAGATTGAAATTTTGATTTTGATTTCCATTTGCCTCGGCCTCGGCCTCTGCTCGGGATATATTCACATTATTTTTGCCAAATTGAATTCGCAAAGTGATTTGATTGTGCGTTAAGAAAGGCATTACCGACTGGAGGGTGTGACCCATGACAGGCAACCCCTTTCCTCACAAAAAAAAGAAAGAAAAAGAAGTACTGTGTGCGCTAAAAACCGCATTATGGACTTTAATTAACAGGGGCAAGAGTATTTCAAGCTCCATTAAAATATCATATTACCATCGCTTTTTGCCAGCAAAATGATGGAAAGGGTTTTAGTGGCTTACGGCTTGAAGACTTTTACCGCAGTTATGGCAAAAGAGTGATACCCTATAGACCGGCCATTGAACATATTGTTTTTCTATTAATTATACTCGAATTGCGCATATGGCTTCGGGGAAAACCGCAAGGATCCCGCGGGAAATCCAAAGAAACCCCCCGCACAGGAGCACACACGCAAGTCTCTATAGTTCGGGGATAATCACCATAATCGTCCATGCACTTGGACGGCGCTTTAAACGATTTTCAATATGTTCCCTGCTCCGAAGCGCATGACGCACAATGGAAAACAAAAAATGCGGAAAATGTGGAAAATTCGAGGGCGAAGGGACAGCAATCCGCTTACACTGCAGACTGGGGGTGAATACGAAAACACACACACACACACATCCTGTAATTACACATCCTTTGTTGGCTTACTCTGTGCAATACGCAATGTTTATTCGGGGCCACTTGGAATCCGGATCTCGGTGGTCACTTGCAGGGCAAAGACCTTTTCGGCCGTTGCCTCAATCACCTCCACGAAGAACTTGTAGGTGCCGTTCTGCAGATTCTGCGGATAGATTTCCTTAGCCCTCACATTCTTCAGCGAGTAGTTTCCCGCGCGAACAGGACATGCGATGACGTCGTTCAGCTGCACCTGCGACTGGAGGAAGTACTTCATCATGGGATTGCCGGAGAACTCGGCGAAGAATCCGCACAGATCCAGCGCCCTCATCTGGAGCAGGGTCACAAAGGTTCCCCTGCCCGTTGGTCGCACCCGCAGTTTAAGGTTGAAGGTCAGGAAATTGCTGCCCAGCTCTTGGCGAAGCGATACAGTGAGTTCGAATTGGGTGCGACTGGCGTCGATGTTGGCCAACGCCTTCATATAGCGAGAGTCCCCGAAAATGTTGATATGGTGGATGCGGAGTATGGGTTTCTGCAAAGTGACAAACTGTAGATCCTGCGATGTTGACAATATCTATACCTTGGCTTCTTCCTCCTTCTCCTCCTCATCCCACAAGGACTTTGAACTCGTTGCGTTGCCATTGATTATTTGAAAGAGCGGGAAGAACAACGCTAGCTGAACAAAGTTCATTTCGCAATTAAAAAAATATTCGGGTGGCGATCATCAGGTGGTCATTGTCCATCCACCGCTGAAACTTAATGCCACCCATTTAATAAACGACCTCACTCCTAGCTAGTTTAAATGTTTAACCCCCTAATGACCGAGGTTTATTTGCTGCATTAGCTAAAATATGTACCTATATGTACATATATGTGCCTCTTGGTTGATTTATTTTAAAAAATATATTTTAATATTAAATTTTAGAATATATTACCATACCAATATACAAAACAATTTTTTTTTAAGGTAAACGAAATTATTTACAGGTAAATGGCTTCAAACTTCAAATCAACGGACATTTTAAGTCATTTTTCAAGATTATAAAGTCCGTAATTACGTTGTCCGTAAAAAAATATGACTTGAATTGATGAAATAAGCTTGTTTAAATAATTCATAGCCAATAAGTAAATATATAATAATAAATTATTTAAAATGCTTTTTTAAATCTCAAAGGGTTTCTCCCCAAAAGTAATATTTTTAGATTTTAGTTTATTTTGACTGTTTTTTGGGGTAGTATTTTAGTTCTAAACAAAAGTCTGTAACTAAACAATAATTTTACATTTTTCGGAGTTTGGAGATCTAAGCACATTCTAAAACTTTTCTACGGGTCTTGCATTTGGAATCCTTGTCTACAACGTAGACCCTCGAGGTGACTTGGAGGGCGAATACTTTGGCAATCTCTCCCATCTCCTCGACAATTTCGGCAAAGAACTTGTAGGTGCCATTCTGGATCCCTTCCGTTTGCATATTTCCGGCCACATCGGAGTTTAGAATGGAATAGTTTCCCACGCGTACGGGGCACACGATAACGTCGCTCAGCTTCATGCTTTTCTTAAACATATATCGTATCACCGGATTTGAGTTGTAGTCGTTGAGGAATTCGCAAAAGTTGATCCGACGCAATTCGAAGAGATCCACGAAAGCACTATCTCCTTCTGGCTTCACTCGCACCTTTATGTTGATGATCAGATGGTTGCTGCCCAGCTCATTAACCAACTGGACATATACATCGAAATGGCTGCGATCTTCGTGGATGTAGGTCTTCGTCCTCATGTAGTTTGACTCCCCAAAAATATGGATGTTATTTATGACAGCGTAGGCTTTCTAAAAATATATGATTGCCTTAGCTTAAGCTAGCTTATCTTTTGGTTTTTAAATCACCTTTTGACTGGAACTGTATTCTGTGTAAAAGGTGTTGGGATCTCCAACCACCTCGATGGCCAATCGAATGAAAGCGGAAGCCAAAAAAACCCAACCGAACTGACTGGCTTTCATTTCGCAATAAACTTTAAATCCTTGCCTATATCCAGACCCATAGCTCGTTTCCAGCATGACTAGACGACTAAATTTAATTTTTCGTTTAATTTTAAATAATTTGGTTAATTGTTATTATCATGGGATCGGTGCGGTTGGCTAAGCCTTGGTGCATTTGTACCTGGACTCGTGTGTACTGAATTTAAAATTGTATTTATTAATACATTATAATATTTAACTATCAGCCGGTTGGCTAAGCCTTGGTGCATTTGTACCTAGTATGTACTCAATTTTGAGTGTTATTAGTTGTATTTATTAATACAAATCTAGGTGATTATGAGTCATTGTATGGCCTTAAATAATAGAGTACCTGTTTATATAGTTTGTTGTTTTTTAGGGAGATAATTGAAACTATATTTTTATTTATATTACCAAGGTATTCATTTCACCACCATATATTTTCAGAAAGTTTTTTTTTATGTTTTCTGTTTAAGAAAGACTGCAATTATTACAGTTCTTCAAATTTAAAAATTTTTTGTTTTTAGATTAACTGTAGCGAAATGGTACAGAATTATTATTATTATTGAAGTTTGAGCAATTTTTCAGCCAACCAATTTGTAGTTGCAGGCTTTATGTCACCACCTAGTCAACGACTCAATTAGCTAACCGTCGGATATGTGCTGCCATCAGAACTTGTTCATTAGACCCCATCACCAGCAGGAAGCTCCAAAGTGTTGAAAAGCCAATTAGCTTTGAGCGCCGGAAGGAAGCCATAGGAGCTGTGCGTGTAAATGGGGGCCAAGAGAGCGCTGGAAAGTTTAAACTCCAAGTGTGAAGGGAGCTGGGAGAGAGCCACCAGCCACCAGCTACCAGCTACCAGCCACCTGCCACATGCCACATGCCACCCTCCGGATCTTCCCACACCCGGAGCTGCGTAATTTTCTGCGTCATTTAATTAAGCCGATTCACGGCGCCCTCGAGTGCGGTGAGCTGGGCTCCGGCTAAGCCGACGTAGACTGGCCCACACGCCCACATGTGCCCGGGTAATTAGCTCAGTCGTTCATGTCGATTATTTATAATATTTTCCCCTAATTATTTATTCATAACTGCTAATAGTGTTTGTCGGACTTAAGTGCCAACAGCTTACGCGCTATTAATTGGGCCGATGATGCCCAGTGCCTTGAGCATTGATACAATGCCTCGGCCTAATCTCTTAGTCATCTGCGGCTCAGAAGCATGGCCTAAGCGAGCGAACTGGGCTTCTTGACCCGTGTGTCGGCCAGGAAGCAGGACACAACCCGGTTACCCTGCTCGGAGTCCAGCAGTCTCACCTCCAGGCGAGTGGGCACCTCGGGCTGGTTGGTGGTCACCGGCAGGAGCAGCTGGTATGTCACATCCTCGCCAGCGTCCAGGGGGCAGTAGGCGCCGTGCAGCAGGTTGCCGCACACATTGCCACGGGCAGCCTCCAGGTCATACGGTATCGTCACTCCCAACGAGGTCAGGTGGACTACGGCCGACAGCTTCTTCATCGAATTGCGAGCTATGGAAGAGAAGACAGAGGAAAGGCTTGAATTAGAAAACTGGGCGGGGATTAAAAAGACAGGCGCTTTGTGTATGACAAAAGCCAGTTAAAACATTTATAACTTTCTTAGAAATAAAACAACCAAACAAATGACTCTAAAACCCAATAAAATATTGGGAATTCATTTGTAAAGTAATTGCAATAAACCCTGCAATTGAACTTGACCTCAATATATTAAAATACTGTTTTAAAAGGGAAACCTTATTTAAAGCAAAATTGAATTTAATCCAAATAAATTCTGATTAATAAAAGATGTTATTGACTTTAAATGTTCTAACAACAAATGGTTTTAGCACGGAAATATAATTTAGAGCAAAAATAAAAATAGTTTAATCCGGAGAAAATTTGTATATTAAATCACTTGAGCCTAGAGTCGTTGACACTCTCTAAAATGCCAGTTGCTATCATTTCAAATATTTGATATAATTACAAATGAAAAAAAAAAATTATAATCGAAATTGAACAGAATCACTTAAGGCCTTTTTAATGAATACTTACTGGCAACAAACTGGATGTCGATCTTGGCCTCAGTTCCCTTCCACAAATCGCAGGGCAAGGCATCGCATTCGTCGATTTGAACCATCAATGGCTGGGGATAGCTGCTGTCGGCACCTGGGAGTAAAATTACTTTAAATTAGCATATGATCGCAGGAGATTCCTTAAGCCAGACTCACATTGTCTAATTGGCGTGTTGGCTGCGACCAAAGTCCACATCAGAGGTATCGCCAGGCACAGGCTGAACTTCTTAAAGCTGGTCATTTTCTTGGATTTTCGGTGGCTGACACTTGTGTTTACTTTGAAAGTACTTCTGGTATTGGATTCCGGATTCACTAATCGCAGGGGTATTTATACCTAAAATGCCCAACTTAGTTCACTTGCACTCACCTCTTAATCTAATCGCTTTGGGCTTTGAACGCTTGCACCAAAATTACGTTTGATTTTGTTGATTTCACGGCAATTATTACGTTTTAATCGCACTTAGCGGGATCCTTGCAAAAACGTGAGTATATTTTAGAGTACTATGGTAAAAAATTAATTTTAAATGAAACTAGGTGCTCGTAGCTAAAATAAGCTCAATTGGATTACTTTATAATTTTGATTCGTATCAATACTTAGGAAAAACTTGATGTATGGTTATCAATATGGCAACAACTATTTCTATTTGATTAAAATATTCTAATGAAACGTTTGGAGCTCTCAAGATAGTGCAGAGCTAACATGATAGCTCTTATGGTTCCCCAAAGCATTAAATGAATCATAGCCAATGGAGCCCTAATTACCAGCCATATTTGGGTAGTCAGTACATCTGAACTTATTGAGTGCAGAGCTCGCTAATTTTGGCCCAGATAAGGTGGCCAACAAGAACGCACACCTGTTGTGGTCTTGGCCATTTCGGGTGCATTTGTACGCAGGCAAAAGAAAGCATTAAAATTAACCAACGATTAGCGATGATTTAGTGGAACAAACCGGGCAACCAAGATTACGAGATTGCGGAATCGGCCACATTATCCCCATTATCCACTCGTAGCATACTTTTGGGTCGCTGGCCTATAGCAACCCTCTGCCGATCGTTGGTACATTAACATCAATTTATATGCATAGCCAATTTGTAGCAAGTTTTACACAATTTCTTACACCCACTTGACTCGTTGAGAGCGAAAACAGCAGCTGGCTGCAAGGGGTGTATCTGGTGCCCAAATTTCATCAATATTTCCTGATTTTGTTCGCAAATTCAACTGTTTTATATGCAAATTAGCTAAGCGATTTCGCCCCCGCCAGCAATTGATTTTAAAATGTTTACGTTCCTTCGTAAATGAGTAAAAGATTGCCGGCACTCGAAAATCGGGGTTCACTAAGGAGACTTAAGCATTCAATTGGCCGAAACGTTTGTTTAATTAGCATTTTTATAATTAATTTGCGCGTTAATCAATTTTTAATGGAATTTTTGGATTTGTATTATGGGCCCGGCTCTAAAATCCTCTCTTAGTTTTTTTAGCTCTTATATTTCTTAATGCCGCAATCCCATATTTCTAAGATGTAAAAAAAAATAATCTAAACACCTGTTATTCCACCGCAAAGTTAAAAAAAAATTTATAAAAATGTATAGTTTATAGGTAAAAGCCTTGTAATGACATATCCTTACATTTTGCCATCATTTCAAGGCAATCATTGAAGGCAAACCTTCAAATGCGAAACCGTTTACAATTCTTGGGAAACCACTATGCATTTTCCCTGGAATTCCAAGCTTGTACCCGGCATCCATCAATGCCAAAGGGAATTATGGGCCCGGCTCTAAAATTATGTAACTCAAGGCTTCCAGCTAACATTTTAATTATACGAGGGCAGGCAGAAATTGAGAGCGACTGGCACATATTTATGCAAATTAGGCAAACTTCTTTTCGCCCGAAGTGGGCACATTTCTCAGGTGAAATTGCGTTGCCAGGTGAGAGGAAGGCATAAAATGCCAACACGTCGGGGGAAAATTACTCGACAGCCGAACTTGTTGCAACGCATGTTGCCTCTGATTTCGGGGAACATGAATTTCGCATTCACTTAATTACAGTGCCAAAAGCAGAACAGTCTGTTTCGGGGGTTTGAGCAATTAATTAGCATCCCTGGCCGAGCTTGACATGCTGGAAAAATTTAATAAAAAACATTTTTGCATGACGGCATATGCAAATTGCTATTGGCATATCAAAGGGTGCAGCAAGGCGAGAAACTCTCTGCCCATTCCGCCACCTATTTTCCAGGTGGAAAGTGTTGAAAAATTGTCTCAAGGCCAGTTGGTCACCTGGTTGACCACAAGCAATCATAGATTTTTCCTCGTTAAAAAGTAAACAGCTGAATGCACTTGGATAGTTACAACTACATACCAATCGAGTGACTCCGAGAATAGACTATTATATTTAGGGGTTGCTATGACCAGTGCTGTCGATTATTTCTTGGCTTTCAAAAGAAAATTATACTATATTTATTTTTGTATTTTTACAAATCATTCTTCCGATACTAAACCAGAGAATATAAAAGTCAGTAGAAACAAGGCTCGTTTAAGGTACAGAACATAACCAGGAAAATAATTGTAAATTCAACAAATTTAAAATTTTTTTAAATATTTATAAAGGTTTTCTTCTCAACACAAGTTTTGAACCCATCGACAGCACCTGTTGAGGGGTTAAAGGGCAAGGGTTCATGGGCAACTGGGCAACTGGGCGTGCCCATGCCCTTCGAAATTCCTTTATTAATTGACAGCACACGGCAGCTCCAAAAATGTAATGAAAAATTAACAACACGAAAATCAAATTGCCGCCTAATTGAGACACAATGGCCGCGCCAGTTTGTCAGTTGGTCGCTCGGTATTGAATTACGTGCAAACAAATATCAAATTGAAATAGAACAGACATCTGGGCACTGGGGGTTGTCAGGGGAAAAAGGCCACAGGATTGGCGTGACAAATTGTTTGGCTTTGGCGCTGGCATTTAATGTCTGACTTGATTTGACAAATTAATTGAGTTAGCTCGGCAAACGGGCTCTCTGGGCGGGGCTAGTGATATAACCAGTCTATTCAAATAAAAGCTCTGTAAACCCAACCCAGGGAACAGAAAGTGTTGCCTACTTTTCGCCAAGAAATAATCAATAATCAAACTCTTAGTTCGGCTTTTCCCCCCCACTCCACCACACACATTATTGATTCCCCGATAAAAAGGCACATCAAAGATAAGCCGAACATCCGTGAAATACATTTGGGAATATGCAAAAATGGAGAACACCCAAAAGTGCAAACGGAAACCGTTCTACTAAGTGGAAATGTTTGGCTGCAAAAGTATTCGGGTATCAGATTTTCCGGCCCAGATAATTGCATTAAATGACACCGAGAATAGAATTCAGGAATCAATGTATCAGGCTGATGCTAATCAAATATTGTGGTTCCCTAAGATACTTTTCGGGCCCCATGTCCGGAATATTTTTTGTCGTGCAGGATTTTCCATTGCTTTGACATATTAAATAATGTCACAACAATTACATGTGAGGAGCTACAACAGTTCCTGGGAGAAAAGAATCGGGGAGGGTGGCATGTTCAAAAGCATTTTGAGGAAATCTCATGCTGCGCTGCGGCTGTGGCTGTCCGTCCACATGCCAAGTCACCACCAACCATCCGAAATGTTGCAAAATATTTGCGAGGGTGGTTAATAGAAAAATAGATTATTGTGCTATTTATAAAAAATAAATTAGATATGATGTACAAGTTTTAGTCTAAAATTATAAGGTACTAATGTTCTGATAAACAAAAATTTGTTTATACCTGATTATAACGCATTAAAAAATATATTCTTTGAATAAAACATTAAATACCATTTCTAGTTTATTTTTTTTAAAGGTGGTAAAAAAATATAATGTACAAATAAAAATTCTTTTGCAACTTTTATAATTTGACCAAAAATGCCATGCTAAAAAATGCTGTAGATTTTTTTAATATTTCCTACAACTCCTATATAAATCTATATTTTTTTCTCTTGCGTAAACAATCAACTTTTCAAGCCCACCTCGCTTTATTTTACCTTTGGCGAATTCGCAAACTGTTGAGTGCTGGATGGGTGGGAGTCTGGTGGGGAATTATATATTTTCCAGCTTACTTTTAGTCCGTTTCCTTTATACTCGCACATTTTCCCGCCCCGCAGAAGTTCCATTGTCAGTGGCTTTGGCCGAGGCACAAATGTCTGTGGGTTTTTCCGATGCCATCAGCAGGCTTAGTGGCCTGCCTGCGGAGTGCTCTGGGATTTATTTTGGCACTGCCACCACAGTCTTTGTGCCCGAATCCTGGGTGCCGTAAACTCGCCGATGAAGTGATAAAATTCTGCTGCCCGATTTCATAATTTTACGATCCATTGTCCCAATGCCTGCAAAATCGACTCTAATGATGCGAATTGATGTGGAGATTTGTATTTCCAAATACTTCATTCGATTAAACAGATAAGGACTATATATTTGTTGGGTAATTGTTATTTATTTAATTTAAGGGAAGTTTGGTTTAAATTAGGAAAATCACCCTATCCTTTTAGGATGCTTTATTAATATCCACAATGTTTTAAATTTCCTAATTAACTTGGACAAAATATTTAAGTAGTTATTTAAGACTCAGAGTTAAGGAATGTCAAAATACATTTCTATAATAAGCGGCCGTTTAGCCGCTTATAGCTGATAGGAAACATGGGAATATTTGAAAAAGTAATGTTAAAATAGTTAAATACTAGTTGTGTCTATTTTTAACTAAACGTTTAAAGTGCTGTAGCAGTAACCTTCTGTCCAAAAAGATTGACAATTGCTAGTCGATTGCCCGAAAGCCAGTTTCAATTTACGTGCGACGAAATCAATGGCGATAAGATAGGACAAATCCGAATGTATTAGCCGAGAAGCCCTCGGATCTGGCTATAAAAACGATGCAGGCACTGATGTTGGCCAAAAGCAATTTGTACCGAGAAACATGAAAGTCGTGTCGTTGATTCTGATCTCCCTGGGATTACTGTCGCTGGTCGGGGCCCAGAAGAAGCATCCGGCCACGGAAGTGAAGCGATGTGAGTTTAAACACAAGACAAGTGGTAATATCCAACTAAATAACCCTATTTCCCATCTAGGCTCTGGAAGTAAACCCTTTCCGCTGGAGGTGCGAGTCCATGGATGCGTCACTCCGCCCTGCCAAATCGTCAAGGGTTCTACCCAGGATTTCGAGATTGACTTTGTCGTGCGAAAGTACATTACTAAACTGACGACCCTGGTGAAGGCCACCACCCTCGGGATTATCACAGTGCCATATGAACTGCCGGCGGATGTGGCTGCCGTCTGTCCGAATCTTCAGTACGGCGCCTATTGTCCGCTCTATGACACCGAGGATGTCTCCTACCTGTTCAGCTTTCCCATCGGGGAATACCCCGAGATCGGCGTGAAGATCGAAATCTATCTGGTGGATCAGGATGGAGACACTGCCGTGTGCTTCGTGTGCGACATCAAAGTGGTCAAGGGCAATGGCGGCAATTCGGTGTATGAGCTGGACTATCTCAACTAATGTTGAAGGGAACTTCATTTATCAATTGGCCTAAATTACTGTGATATACCAATCGGTTTTTTTTTGAAAATACATCGCTGGGCTCACCCCCAACGTCTCATAAATATTTAATAAAATTTTAAAAGCTTTACCCCAACATGTGAGGGTGGTTTTCCTAAATACTTCTTATGCGTTTACCTCTGGGTTGAGCAAAACAAAAACAAACTCGTCGTCTGTCATATTTTAAGACTAGTATTACAAAGTATTCTATTGGCCATCGGCGCTATCTGAACACGCAGTCATTAAGGTGTAAACTCAAGTGGGCGAAAGCGAAAAGCTATAATGGAATCGAATCTAAATTCGCAAATCTCAAGTCTTATTACCCTAACACACCTGTTCAGGCGCGCTGCGAAGAAGAAGAGGAATGTACTTGGTTATCAATGCCTCCTTTCGAAAACCGAGCAAATCACCCAGATTATCAGATTTATTTCCAAATGTGTTGCACTGTAAAAATATCAAGTCACTTTGGATTAAGATTACGTTGTTTGTCATTCAGAGGGTCTCCATTTCAAATTTCAATTTTTAATTGATTTTTTTTGTTGCAAACGCAAATAACCATCATAAATATCTAACAGATTATTGCCATATTTCTGATTTAACACTAAAGAAAACGATCGTACCCAAATTAACAAAAAATTAGAGGAATTAAAAATATATTTGAATAAAATTCTTTTAAATTTAATATTAAATACTGACTGAATATGTGCATATATTTATATATATTTATAAGAAAATTAAAAGAAATAAAATATTTAATTGTTTTGTCTTATAGATTTCTTTCTGAAAATGTTCAGTGTTATAAATAGAACCCAATAGAAATGTCAAAAAATGATAACGTTCTAGGAAACACTTCTCTTTATAATTAGATTTTGAAGTACCTGCTTTCATAGTTTTAATTAACTATTTTTTGTATACTGCAGTTCCCAGAAAAGGTCATGTTTTTCAGCAGAATTCTGTTAAGTGTACTATTGCACCCAGCAAGACGGTTATCGCCCAACTTTTGACCATATGGTCAACGCGGTCAATAAATGATTATCGACACGGTTTTATTGGTCATTCCGCTACTGAATCAGTGGAAATAAATTACTGGACTTTCGGTGCAAATATCAACGTCACCGATGACTACAAATAAATAAGTTTGAGTGGATATCTAATCGGAGGCCCGAGAAATGTGTTAATCTGTAGACTGATTGTACGGGTACACTGGAATCCGTGACGTAGTCAAGGTAAACAAATGCCGTTATCGCTGCAAGAGTTTTGAGTTTATTATTCGGCAAATAAGGTGGAATAATCAGTCGGCCAAAATCGGTGGTATTGCGTACATCGTATGCTTATTCGGAGATGGCACTCGGATTCGTCCAGTCCAAAAGGTATTCGTCCCGTTGCGATGCAGTTGCTCCCTTCCGGAGCTTGCAGCTCACGACAAAGCAGGTGATCGGTTCGTTCTGGGCATCGTTTAGCGTTACAGTGACATCCGCCGTAATTTCCGGGAATGCAGGCTCCACGTAGAAGTTGAACTGGTAGGTGACATCCTCGTCCTTGTCAATGGGGCACATGGCGCCATACAGGAGGTTTCGGCACACATTGGACACCTCTTCGGGAAGGTCATACGGCAGATTCATGCCCAAAACCTTGGCCGTTGTGGTGGCAGTGATGCTCTTGATATTGTTGTTATCTGCAAGATGACAGCGGTCAGAAATGAACGATATAAGGATAATTCCCTCAACTTACTGCCCAGGAAGTGCACCTCCATTACAGCAATGGTTCCTTTGTAGACAATGCACGGTGGCACATCGCAATCCTGAATCTTAACGTCCAGTGGCAACGGCTTGTTCTTGCCTAAAAGAAAAATGAAGATCCACCAGTGAGCTCAAAAGTAGACTATGGTTTTTGGAAAAAACTCTGGAGATTAGCAGGCATTGGCTGATAAGCCCTATCACAACCGGGAGGTACTCTTGAGGACTTTTTGACTCAAAAGTATTTTTGGTAATAGTTTTTGTCACTTCGTAGAGATTATGTATGAGACAAAGTCTGTGAAGTGAATCACCAGCCGAGGAATGCTTTGAAACCACAAATCAACCTTAACTTAAGGCCTGAAATCCGAAGTTTAAAATATCCTAGTGACCAAATGAATGGAATTAAGCTACTTACACTGCTGTACAGTGGTGGCACTGACTGAAGCCAGAATTAAGGCAAAAGTTACAACGATTCGCAGCATTTTTTAAACGGGGAAGCTCCTTTAATCTTTGGCCAGAGTTAATTAAAGGTTTTAGGTACGCGCGCACGCAGATGATAACCGTGAATGGAATCGATGGGGCCGATGGAGAGCCTTAAATAGCCCGTGTCCAAGCGATGACCAACGGTTCGAGAGAGCGTTTATCAGGCTCGGCGGCTATTGATACGGGGCCGCCACGCAGGTGTTACAAATGAAAACAGTGTGGCCTGCAGGTGTTGCGCTCTGGCGAAGAGCAAACACAGCCAAATCCAATCAGTAAATAACGTAAATTTGGCTGATAAGCGAAGAGAGGCGAAACTACAATGTTTTAGATGGTAAACAATGCCGCTTTGGGGTTAATATGTCAACAAGGCGGGAAAATCCCTCAAAAACGGATTAGTCAACTTATAATTATAAACTTAAAGCGGTTAAGAATTCATGTTTAAATTACCCGGCGATTAATGCTCTATCGATCTCGATTGAAGCTATCAAAGTCATCGATAACAGTCCATCTCTAGCTTGAGGTGTTAAGGTAAACAACACAAATGTTAAGTTTAAAATGGAAGGAAATCAGATAATGGAGAAAGAGGATAAAGATGTGGAACGGTTCGTGGCGGAGAAGTATCCTGGTCTAGTGGCGGAGCTCCAGCCAAGCGGTTCCTGCATCGTTCAAGGAGTTATGTGCTGTGAGGTGAGTAAAAAGTAGTCTAAATGTTCCCGCCTAATAAATGTTATTTCTTTTATGCAGGGAACCTGGCGGCGCCTTAAGCTCTACTTACCCCACCACCCAGCGCTCCATGGTTTCCAGCTCTATGTGCAGGAGCACTTGATGTACAAGATCTACACGTCGGACAATCTGAAGGTTCAGGATGACTGGCTTCTGGAGGATTTGCTGGCCAATCTGGCACAGATTCTTCCCGCCCCAGAAGCCCTTGCATTGTTTAAGGATCCTTTGCCGGAGGGCAATATATACTCCGACATCCTGGCCTTGCACAAGCCCAACGAGTACCTCATGCAAATGGATGAGGCCTGTACCCGACTGCGATTCAGCGAATTCTCCGACTACGAGCATCACTATCTGGAGCTGGAGATTCCCTCGCTTCGCCTGCTGGATCACAGCCTGCCAGAATGCGTACCGCTGGGGGAAATGCTGACCAAGAGCGCAGGAACCCTGGAGGAAGCCCTAATCCTCTTCCTTAAGGTGCTGCAGGAGCTTCGCCCCTTCTACGACCACTTCATGGACATCGATGAACTGTGCCACGTGCTGCAGCCATCGCCCATCACCACCAAGCACAATTCACGGGTGTTTCCGCTCAAGGATCGCGTCTTCCTGAAGGTGACCATCGGGGATCCCTTCGCCTGCATCGCGTCCATGGCGTTGAAGATCATCGGTCCCACGGAGGAGGTGGCCCACCTGCGCCACGTTCTCAGCGATGGCCTGGGAAACTGGGACGCAGAACTGGACATGCACAAGAATCTGCTCCGCATTTTCGACCTCTGCTTCTTCCCCATGCCGGACTGGTCCAATGGGCCCAAGCAGGACGAGGAAGAGAACGAAGAGCTGCGCTGCAACATTTGCTTTGTCTACCGCCTGGATGGCGGTGAGGTGCCCCTCGTTTCCTGCGACAATGCGAGGTGTGTGCTCAAGTGCCATGCGGCCTGCTTGAAAGAGTGGTTTACCACACTTATGGATGGCAAAACCTTCCTGGAGGTCTCCTTTGGCCTATGCCCTTTTTGCAAGGCGGTAAGTTGTCCTCACCCCTTTACAATTTAACATTTCCTTAATTCTTCTTGCCTTATGTTTTCCAGAAACTGTCCACCTCCTTTGCGGCCCTTCTTAATGACTGACTAGCCCGCCACAATAATAAAAGCAATTGTTTAAGAGTAACTTATTACAGAGAGACTTTAGTTTCAAAAATCTTAAATATCAATTAGGCATAATTTACTTGAACTAAAGAACATATATGCAATCATATGTAGATCAATCTTTCGGTTAACATCCACGCCAAACAACTGTCGTGGGTTCTGCCAAATGTGGTTGTGAAACGAATTAAACAGGTCCCATATGATGGACCGCATTGTTTTCCGGGCGACGGCAGCAGCAGAGTTGGCCACTGAGCAATCGCTTCACAACGCGCCAGCCTCATTCCATCTCGTTGGAGATCAGCCGCAGCATATTGCGCACCACGTAGGTGCTGCCGTTGACCGGCGTGTTCTCGCTGGCCTTGCCAATCCGCACACTGGAGCCGGCCAGGCCGAAGAACACCCTGGGCGCCAGGTTGGGCTCCACCGCCTTGAACTCCCAGCCAACGTGCTGGGCGCAGAACTTGCACAGGATGATGTGCCACTGGTAGCCGGGGAACCAGCTGAACTTGGTGGACGGCTCGCCGCTGTAGCCGATGGCGTGGGACATCACCCGGTAAACGGTGTTCGTCTCGTGTATGTAGCCCTCTGCAAAAGAGAATGTTAATATTTCCATTTAAATGATGGTTTCCAAAGCCCAAGTCTCTGAATTCATGTGTAAACTATCACCTGGATTGCAGTACTGCGTCTGAACCCCGTGCTTGGACATGGCAAATAGATCCGCGCAGTGGGCCAGACTGCTGTTGCAGTATCGGCAGAAGAACAACGACTCCTCCTTGAACGTGCTCTTGATCAATTGGAGGCGAGTGTTGACCGAGTCCGTGAGGAAGGTCAGCCGCATCATCTTCTCGGTTAGGTGGAGGTTTCGCACCAGCCAGAAGGATAGCTGAATGGGGCATTTTGGCATGGTGTCTATCTTTTGGACTTCTAGCCTCTGGCGTGCGCGCTCCACGATGGCATCGAATGAATACTCCTGGCAGACATCAGCCGGCCAAGGAGTGCTGGCCAGCTGGAACCTGCGGTACTTGTCTTGCATCGAGGGAATATCCCGAAATCTGGCCATGGAGCCCATATCAACGGATTGCAGGGGCTCGGGCAGAAAGTACTCCGGCAATATCTTGACTTTGCTGAAGCACTTGCTCGTCGGATTGCGGGCAATGTACTGTGGCGGCCTGAAAGGATTTGAAGATGTTACAAGGACCCTTTGAAGTGGGTTGCAGACCCACGCACCCCTGGATGTCACCGCAGTTGATGACGATGCGCTGTAGTGCTCGGGATTTGTAGAACATCATCTCCCGACCGCTTTCGCCCTTTTCGTAGATCTGACACGTGACCCCGTACAGCTTGTGCGGGTTGTCCTCCGGTGGCTGCATCAGCGGAAAGCCCACGCCGAAGATCAGGCCATCCAGGCCGGGCATGTCCTCGTCGAACATGCGGCCGTCGATCATGAAGGGCAGAATCTCGCCGGGGAACAGGATGTGCTGGTGCAGGAAGATGAGCATGTGATGGGTGCTGCCCACCTCCAAGTAGTCGACGCCGGGCACGCGGCTCAGATGGTTGCCGAAGTACGAGTGCTCCGCCGGCAGATTGGTGTCGAAGCGCACGCCCCGCTCCAGTTCGATGTCGATCTGGGGACGAGGTGGTGGCGGTGGCGCTGGCTCTGGGGACTCGTCCGGCTGCTCGGATAGCTCCTGGCTGTTCTCTTCGCTGGTGCGACTGCGTTGACGCTCCTGGCTAAAGACCATGCTGCGCACGCGCTGCAGGAAGTTGTCCCGGTTGAGCAGAGCGGCGATTCCGCCATCTCGGTAGCGGGCCTGCGAGACCATCATGTCCACGGCGGAGCGCAGGCGGTTCTGGGGGATCATCCAGCGGGGCAGGCGCTCCAGATCCGAGTCATCTGGGCGGAAAAAGGGATGGTTAAAACAGGATGGTTCACGGGAAACCAAAGACCCACCTTCACTTCCTGGACTCTCGAGGGACATGTCGCTGCTCGGATGACTGCCCTCACTCGCTGTGTCCTCCGGCACATCATCCCCCATGGCCTCCAGCTGGCCATCCAAGCCCCCATCGATGGCCAGGGGATCCAGGCCAGCTGGCTCCAGTTCACCCACCTGAGCCAGGAGCTCCTGGACAGATGGTATTCTCGGTACTGGTATTCTCAGCTCGGCCGTTTCATCCTCCCCCTGCACAGAATTGATTTCTGCGCAATTTAAGACGTTCAACAATTAGTAAAGTGCTTAACTGGAGTGGCTTGATGTTGTCACACCCACCTGAGGTCTCCTCGTCGTCCATTTAAGCCGTTCCGTTCCTGTGGTTGTTTTCTGTTTAATGAGAAAAGTATTTATTTACTTTTTATTTTGACAAAGGAAAATGAGCGATTTTCGATAGGCAGCGATTGCCCAACTGGACTGCCAGTGTTGGTAACGCCGGAATTTTTCAAATTTATGGTAAGTTCAGCCCGCGCGAAACTGCGATGCATGTTTTAAAAGCTATATCCTATAGTAAAAATTTTGTTATTCCTAAAATGTTGGATACTAAAGTTACTCAGGGTACTACAAGTGAACTAGTAAAAAATGTTAGAGATATTGTTAGAGGAAACAAGGAAAAATTGGAAATGATTAAAGTGCGACTCTAAACAGTGAGATCAATATTCTGATATGAAAGAGTGTTTACTCTTGAGAGAGTTAAAAAATTTTAAAATATGTGAAAACTGAAAAAAAGCTTATTAAATAACTAAACTAACCAAATTTCAAATATGTTTAACTAAAATAAAAATTACACATAATAATGTTACAGTTTAATTTCTATAACTAAAACTATTTTTTTACGGATGGCTGTTTGAGTTATAATAGTCTAACTTCAATACATTTATATCCTTGATTAAATCCAATCTGAAATATTGGAGCTTTAATGTAAATGAATCGATAGGTACCATTCAGCATCGATCTGTTTGCATCACTAGCCAGAGCGGGCTTGGGACCGGATCGGAAGCTTATAAGAGCGGATCTGAACAGTCTGAAACCGATGTTCGCCACATTTGGTAGTGAGCGGATGTGAAAAGTGAAACCGAGGAAAGTTGCGTTGTGTTATCTTGTAAAGCGTCGGCATCGTCGATTTTGCATACCCGTTAATCAAAACAGAGCGAGAGAGAGAAAGAGAGTTCGAACAATGATCAATATAAATCCGCGACTTTTGCTGATCGCCGTGCTTTTTGCGATTATTGGGAAAGTGGCACGCGCCCAAATCGCCTTTGTCGAGGATCAAGACATTGATAAGAAGAAGGCCAACCTTGCGGTAAGCTGCAGCCAGAAACGGACCGATCCGACAGTCCGAGTTTTGGGCCGTGATAAGAAAATCCGAAACGGGAGAGAAGAATTCCAACTGAGTAGAGCCAATCGCTGTAGACCCTTTCCAATTAAACTAAGACCGACTAGTATATTCCACTTGGGAATAAAGGGAAGATGTTTCATTTTATGCAAACTAAAAAAGTTTTTTTTTTATTAAGTATTTGGAAAAACAGGTTTTTATAATTGTATTCCCTTGGCGGGAAATTCCATTTCAATGAAAACAATTTGTCGTATGTATATTATGGCTTTTTTTTTTAATTCAAGTTAACTTACATTTAAAATTTCCAAAAATCGGGAAATAAAGATTTCCAAATAAATATAAAACCAGAACAAAATATTTATGCGGGATACAGTTCTTGAAATGGCTATAAATATAAAAGTTTCTGTAAATTTTTTGTTGTTTTTTTAATTAGATTTAAGTTCTTGAAAAACAACGAGTAAAGATTTCCAAAAACTTTAAAGAAACCTAAAATGAGATCAAATGTTATCAGTTTCACATTAGTAGTATACAGGTAATATTTAAATAGTCAACATTTTACAGTTTAGTATGCAAAATAGAAGTATTGAAATTCTTTAATTTAATACTCTAAAGAAATTATGAAGCATTAAAGAACATAAATGTTTTGTATTGCAAAAGCACTTCAGATTAAAAAAAAATAACCCAGTTTAATTGAAAAAAATCTTTTAAAACAGTATAACAAATTTATTGGACTCTTTGTTAGGGTACGGCGAACGCCTTGGCAATAATCAATTAGACCTCATCGTAACCCCCTCCGATTTCTTCTCCAGGGTCGCAAGCCACTTTATTCCCCAGCCCGATGCCCCAAGCACCAGCTTCTTTATCCGGGGGACCAGCAGAAGCAAAACGATTGGGTCTGCGACTGCGCGCCAGGTGAGCAGTCATAATGGAGCTACCGATGTGATGACATAATAATAACATGGGTTCGGGTACTTCCCCTTCCACAGCCACACTGTATTACCCAGAGACCGACGGCTGCTATCCGGCCTTCAGGCAGGGACCCTGTGAGCCCGGCCAGATGCTGGTGCTCTACAAGGAGAAAATCATCCCGGAGTGCGTACGCAATCCGTGCAACCAGGACGGGCACTTCATGATCCGCGACACCTGCTACAAGTTCGGCAATACCAAGAACGAGGAGAACCCGTGCCCCCGTAAGGAGGCAACCTTCGTGCTGGGCGTAAATCCCATCAACCTGATGGTGGACTGTGTTAAGCTGTCCGTGCAACTGGAGACCCGCTTATCAGACACCCCGGAGACGCAGGCTCCGCCGGAGTACTACATCGAGCTGGCTGAGAAGTGCTCCCGCGGCAGTCGCCTTTTGGCCCAAGGAAAGTGCGCCTAAAGGATTTCAGCAGGATATTTAAATGGTTAACGAATAAGTTTACGTATTGTGTTCTGTTCGGTGCTGTAGATTCCAGTGAAAGAATTTTAATTTGTTCAATGTTTACAACAGGTACAATATGGGTTTTGGATTAAAGACTCATTTTATGGCGATTTTCTTGTATTTAAATTAATGTTTTATACAACAGCTAACAGTACTTTAAGAAGTAAATTCAAGAATTAACCAAAACGTAAGCTATCTCATTTCCCAAGTGATGAATTTCAGGTAGCTTATCTACTACCGAAAACTAGGAACTAGCTTTTTTCCGGCCCTTAGTCGGAGTAGTTGCAGGTTCGGGGCTTTCTTCTTCGAGCATCTCGTCCGCTTCGACATCATCCTCCTCTGGCAGCGTGACGCCGTCCTCCAGGTTTGGTTCTTCATTGGCAGTCTCCAGCTTCAGCAGCGCGTTCTCAAGCGAGGCGAGGAACGAGCTCTCGCCGTACTCCGGCCATTGACGGAACTGGCTGAAGAGCGTCAGCATTTGGCTGGGCCGGAGATCTCCGAACTGGGTGTAAATGTTGATACCTGGATAGTAGTCCCTGGTGCTCATCGTCGTACTTTGACAGGAGTACTGAGGCAGTTTCTTGGGCAACTCATCTGGATAAGTAGGCGTCACGGGCTCGGACGCGTGCGGATTGATGATCAGCCGAGGTCCACAGCCGGGCACCCATTTCCTGCACAAATAAAATGATAAATTAAAAACTCGAAGGTTGACTTTGCTTACCTACTCTAGATTGGGGATTATCCTGTTTCGGCGGCTCACAAAGTTCTGCTTTATAAAAAACCAGAGGGCGGGAAGATCCTGAGACTGACAAAGCTCGTGAAGATTTCGGCGCGGTGAAAACTTCACCAGATACATATACTCCGGATTGATGGACCGCACCTTTCCCAATTTGCTACCCTTGGTGGGACTATATACCGTCTGATGGGGGAGGAAATCCTCGCGCGGCACCTTGGCAATAAACTGATGCTCAAAGAGGATTTGGAAGAGCACGCTGGTCGAACGGTAGATAAGGTAACCAATCTCATTGTTGCAGGTAAGGTGCTGAAAAATGTTGAGTAAAAATGATGCCAAAGAAAATCATTTGACTATTTACTATGTAAATGGGTGGCGGCATGACGAGGATCATCTCGCAGCGACCGAGATTGAAAAGACTGGTCTGGAAGATGAGCGAGTTGATCAAATGCTTGAAGAATGGATACGAGCCCACAGCGCCAAAAACTAGCATATTGTTATCTGCGGGAACAGAGATTTAAAATCGTTTTAAATGATTATATTGTATCAGCTCACCATCCTTGAAGGCTTTCTGTGGCACATCATTAAGCAGATCCGCCACCCTGGTGCCACCATCCATTTTGTCCATGTACACCAACTTCCATAGGTTCACAAAATCCCCTTGGCGCACCTTTACGCGCTCCGGATAAAGTGTATGTAGCTCCTGAAGTCTGGGCATAAAGTGATCCATGCTTTCGAGCAGGATTATGCGCCGGAACTGGGATTCCCTGTCCAACAGTTGCCGGGTGAAGTGTCCCGCTCCGGAATTCAGTTCCATGACAGTGTCACAACCGGAGCTCTGGAAGTGGGGCTCCAGATGCTGGCCAATCCTTTGGGCAGCCTCCGCATTCGCCACATACATGTGAGGCGAAATCTTGTGCTTCCGGGTGAGTAGCTTCTCTGGGAATTCGTCGCTGTAGCGGGCCACCAGCTCTTTTCTGGCCTTGGTGCTATAGTTGGCCCTGGCCAGAGACCAACTGCATCGTAGGGGCAGCATTTCTCAAGATCTTAAAAAAACAAATCCAAAATAAAGTGTTCTTTACGTTTGTTTACATGCAACAGTTGTGCATGTTCTTAACAACACTAGCCGATAGAGGTTCAAACAGCTGTTACAAAAACAAATCACAGCTGGCCGCTTTTAAACACTATCCAACACTTTTTTGGTTATGTTTACGGAGCAAATTATTTTCGGTTTCCACGATTTCAAGTGAATTTTAAGCGAAGTAAATAAAACTTAACCTACTTTTGGCATGGGTCAGGTCCTTTCCATGGTGGCCCGCCGTGCCAATCGCTTCAATGCCGAGAATCGCGCCCATCGCATCCTGGAACGCGAGAAACCCACACCGGCGCCCAAGTTCGACTCCAATTTGAGGGACATGGAACGTACCTTGGAATGTGAGTGGACTGTGAGAAAACAAAGGATTCTTCAACACTCTTTAATGCTCTACCCCCTACAGTGGATCCCAAGTTCGTGGACAAGCTGAACCTGAAGGACTCCAGCTTGGACGGGCGATTGAAAGACGTTTATGTAACCTCGCAGGATCGATTTGTGGGTTAAGGCTAGTGGGAGCTATGTGGACAAATACTGATCTGTATTCTAAATTCCCTAGATCAAGCGGGTCCAAGACCGCCAGGCTGCGGAGACTGCAGCGGATCAGGCGGAGAAGAGAGCTCTGCCCCTGGAGCGTAAAACGCCGGATGATTTCGAATACGGATATTTGGAGCCCACGCGCATCACCCCCGGGCACTGCACGCTTCGGCAAGCGCTCAAGTTCATCAATGACCACCAGTTGGATCCGGAATCCTGGCCGGCCAGGAAGATAGCCAATGAATACAAGCTTAAGGAGCCGCTTGTTGGTGAGATAACCTGGAAAGATAGCCCCCAAACATCCCAAACTAAGCTTTTCTCTTACAGAAAACATCCTTCACTACTTTAAAACGTTTAATATGTACATACCCGATCAGAAGTACAAGGACACGTTGCTGACACAAGCTACGCAGCCTCTTCTGAGGGTTAAATCCAACCCGGAGGGTAATCCGTAAATAAAGCACTCTTGTTATTTTGTTTTAAACCTACGCTTTATTGTACGAAACGAGAATCACACAATCGCATTGGGCGGACAGAAGTATATGTTCAGGGATTTGTCCTCGGAGGCGGAGGCCACCTTGTCGTTGCCAGGACTATAACGTACGCCCCACACCTGGTCCGAGTGTTCCGCGAACGTGTGAAGGCACTTGCGTTCGGAGGTGTCCCACACTTTCACGGTGCGATCGCTGGAAGAGCTGGCGAAGTGCTTGCCGTCCTCCGAGAAGGACACACACAGCACCCAAGAGGCGTGGCCAGAAAGGGTGCCCACGACATCCGAGTGGGTCCTGTGGAAGAATAGTATGATATCATTAGTAACTAATAGGGCTTTACAACTTTAACTTTCTTTGGCTTTTTAAAACATTTTTGCTTAAAATACTTTCGGGATTAAGACTAAGATTTACTTACACATCATAAAGCTTCATGTGACCATCATCGGAACCTGTGAGCAGCATCTGGGAATTGGGTGAGAAGCAAAGGCTGCGAACGGGCATCGCATGGCCCTCCAGAGTTTGCACCACCTTGCCCGCTGCCACGTCAAAGATGGTAATAATGCCATCGATGGCTCCACTGGCTATGTACTTGCCATCAGGGCTCTGCAATGATACACTGTAAAGCCTAAACAGATTGGGTTTTGATCAGGTAAATCTTACATAGGCAATGCTCAGTGTGTATTTGCCATTCTGCGCATCTAGTGTCTGCTCCGCCTTCCCCGTTTCCACGCTGTACATGGAGATTTTGCCGTCATTTAATCCAGATATCACGTATTTGTTGCAGGGCGAGAATCCAACCGTCCAGAGATCAACGGGACCAAAGGTAAGCAGGTGTTTCTTATCGCCGGATCGGGCATCCCACAAACACATACTGGAATCCAGCGAACTGCTCGCAATTGCTAAAAGAAGGAAGAGTTTGTTTAAAAGCGATTTTATTTTAAAAAGGATTCTATTGAATATATAAAATGACAATCGACCAACAGATCGAATACTAATGCTGTTAATTAAGAAATCTTAAAACTTACTCTGTCCATCGGAACTGACGGCCACGGACACGACACCCAAGGCATGTCCTTTTAACTGGTGGCGGAGCTTTAAGGTGTTGTCCTCCCGCAGATCCCACACCTTCACCAAGTCGTCCAGGCCTCCGGTGACTATGAAATCCTTAGGACGCGCCTCCTTCTTGTCGAAATCGAAGGGATTCTCCTCCTCCGGCTCCGTGCCAGCATCATCCGGATCCGGATCGGCAGTGTCGCGGCCCCAGGTGCAGGCCCACAGCGCATTGTCGTGCGCGTTTTCCTCCTTGTGCAGCAGCGAAAACTGACGGAGAATTGTGCGTTGAGGAAATGCCACATTTGATTCTATGTAAACTTACCATTCCAAAGAAAAAGCCGGAAAAATATTTATTTTCGGAAAGAGTGCTCAAAAGAGATGGGAGAACTAGCGCGGCTATCGATAACAGTAATGAAAATAGTGTTGGGAAAGATTAGAGTAGGTGAAAACAAAACTTTAACTGCTCTCTTGAAATATTTATCCACAGAAATATCAATGCCCATATATAATTAATATTTATAATAATTAATGATTATTAAACAAAACTAAATTCACCTTAATTTTATCTCAACTTGTTTAATTGAATTTAAAACCAAATATAGACTTTGGTATATTTTACAACCTGGCATAACCCCATTCTTCCGCTACGGCCACTCTGATGGTATCTTGCCTCGGCCCGGAGGTGGTCACACTGTTTCCACCCGTCGACTACCGAGGAACGAACGTCGCGTTTTAAAAAACAAATCATCAAACGACTCGGACGCGAAATCTAAGCGACTGGCGAAAAAGTGTAAGTGACGGGTGTTTCAAGTGGTACCATAGAGTCTGCCCCACAGTGCGACAATGCTCGGATCTACCAGTGCGGTTATATAATGTGGATTTAGTGCATAGGACTCCGCCGCCGATACCAAAAAACCAAAAACAAAGAAACGGACCAACGCGTGTTCTGTATTTCAGTTGGGTTCTCTCTTTTTTCCGCTGTCGCCGCCGCCGTGAATCGAATATGTATTTTCCTCTATGGATCCGCGTGTCTGGAATATATTAATAAACATTCACAGTAAAGCCTCGTTTGCGCGTATGTGTGCGTGGGGGCGGGTGTATGTCGAATGTGTGGTTGTGCAGCAGCAAATTATTTATCTCCCATATCATATCTTTTGACGAAATCGAAAAGCGAATGATTCATTTCTGAGGCAGCAGGACTCGGCTATTTGTGCACTAAACCGAAATAAAACAGAGAAATACACATATGTACATATGCGCTGCACTTTCCATGAGTTTTTCGTGGTGTGTTTGTTTTATTGATTCCCATTTTCACATTCCCCCCACCCCTGTCTTCCACCCAGTTTCTCCTCTTCTCTCCAAAAGACATCTATATTCGCGCCTGCCCCCACAACTTCGTTTCCGATTTGGTGTAAACAATAACGGCAACCGGTTTTCGCGTGCAACTTTATCTCTCTAATATCGTCTTTCCTCTTATTCTTCTTCTCTTCCTCTTGTTTTTTTCGATTATAATCGCAATTTGCCGTTTCCAAAATGATATATGCAAACCCCTTTGAATAAATCAAACAGTTCCAGTTTAGTCTGTAAATTATCAAGGTGAGTTTTAAGACGATGATCAATAATGGTGTATTATAGTGCCCAGGATATTTGCATGTTTATGTAATCGTATCTAAATTTTATGTTAATTTATCTCACATATGGCAGAAGAAATAGTTCTAGAGCTTTGTATTCATGCGCTCAGAAATTGCTAGTTTTTATGCTTCAAAGTTGATAATTTTGAACTTAGTTTTAAAAAATTTCGAATTGTAATATATTGCTTTGTTTGCCGTTTTGGAAGTGGTCTCAATGTCCTTATGTCTTAAATTTTAAAATAATTTGTTATACAAAAAAAATGTGCAGTCAAAAAGTTCAAAAATCCTCCTAAGCTCAGTTTTCTATCCATAGTTTTTCTGCCAACCCATCACGGTTGCTCTTAGCCTTCGCACTAATGTGACTGGAGGATTAGAATAAATGTTTACCCTTAAGAGGTGCTCGAGAAGCGCCCAAACAAAAAAAGAATGGAAAAACTAGACCATAAACATAAATGCATTTCACAGCTGCCATTAGTGCACAACTTTTCACAATCGGCCAGAAAAACCGGCGCAAAAACCAAGTACGACAAAATGGAAATCCAGGGCAGGCGCAAAAAGAAAATGAAACAGTGGAAAAAGCGGAAAAAGCCAAAGCCCATGCGAAATGCACTCGGAAAATGGATGAAAAACCAAAGTTATTAGTTGAGGTGGGAAAAGCGGCGCTGAGATCGGGGGAATTGCGAAGTCAAGTGTGGAAAAGCGCTCGCTGGGAAAAGCGTGACAAAGTCAAAAGCAAGGGGCGAAATTGGAGCAATTTGAGACTGTGTGATATGACATCATTGCAAGGGGCGTGTCAGGGGGCGGGGGGCACCGAAGTTTTCCAAAAAAATGAGAGCCAAGCAAGAAAGCGGCTGGCAGGGAAAATTATTGTCGCGCCAGCAAAAAGCGGTCACAAAGATTGGATGCATCAACCTTGACATTATTTCAAAGAAATTACAAGAAACTTCCATCTGCCAAGCGAATCAAATGGGTAAAAGTTGGATTTATTTATTGGCGAACACAACAAAGTTATTTTAAAACGATCGGTTTCGGTTTACGATTAATTGGTCCCAGTTTGACTGCACTTGGTGATTTCCAATTCTTGTACAACCTTTATATCTCTGCTGTTTTTTCTATATCTTAACTTCTTATCAAAGAAAATGCATTCTTAATTTGTAACTTTTTTTTTTTGTAAAGTTATGTTCTATTGTACGGGCAATCCAGTCCTTAAAAGGGAATTGACTCCCAAGAGGCTTGATGGAATTTACGAAGAGAGTCGCACGAACGTCCTCTGATAACAATATCGCCGGAATAATCGCCATTCGTTGAACCCCATCAGAATGTAGGAGCATTGACTCGCAAGATCGCGTTCTGCTGCCGGGGCCATTTCTTTACACCAATCAAAGCGACCAAGAAAAGACCAAGACGATGGCGTCAAGTCATGACATTGCACTGGCAAAAGCACCAGAACAATGGAAAAGCACTCTTTGGATTCCAGTAGAAAGCAAATGCCGCCCTTAACTTTTTGCTTGACTGCATAAATATTTCTGGCCCGATCACAGAGTCCAAATAGTATTTAAATCCAAAGATAAGATAGTAGGCAGTCCACTTCTATTTTTAAGAAAATGGTTTAAGTGTGTGTCTTTTGTCATTTCCTCGAGCTGTTATTTTCAGACTTAGCCCAGGGAAGCATCTAATTAGGGCTCTAATTGGGGCCTTGTTTTTTAAGGGGCACGTGTAAAGTGTGACATTTGTTATGTGTGTGCTTTGTGTGAAATATTTTCATTAGCTGTTTCGCTTTGGGGCCGTATTTATGGACTTTGGTTCTCAAGAGGCGTTAATGGCGTTTGGGTTGATGGTTATAGCAATGGTCATTAGCATATGTTGTAACTGGTTTTTTACAAAAATGTGGGATCAGGAAGATATAAGTAATCTCTGTTGGCGCGAAATGTCACTTTCATTCATTAGAGTATTCTGTAATTTAATAATTTATCATTGGTTTCTGTTATGAATCATTACGGTGTTCAACAACAAACACTTTACAACACTCCCATTTTTGAAACCCCTACGCAGCACTTAAACCAACTGCAACGCAGTTGACCTTTGTTTGTGGAATGCCATAAAGTGCAGTTTTATGACCGCAATGTGTTAACAATTGCAAACGAAAGGGCAAGGAATGCAGGGTCTTCCTCATTGGAGAAGCACTTGAAAAACCATTAAACATTACTCCTTTTGAACACGAAACCCGAGGAACTCCCCTATCTGTCTTTCTCCCCCATTAACCCATAAATGGGAAATTGATATTGTCCAGTGTGTTGAGACACTGATAAAATATCAGACAAATTAGATAAAGTTGCGGCCAAGGGCAAGTTTTTTTTTACACGTACTTTTACTTCTATTTCAGTTAGACCCGCTATCGACGAAGCTCTTTTGAAGTCAAAGAGAGCGCGTAAAATTGTTTATCTTTTGCAGAAGGCAGAGTTCAGCATTCAGCTTTTCTTCGCCTATACGATTTCTTTTTTTTGCATTTGCTGTTTATGTGTGTGTTTTTTTTTGTTTTGTTTGTTGGCCTTTCACGTGATAGGCTTTTGTGTGTTTATTAATCGCATTTTTATCGCCACTTTAATAACATATGCCGCGTTGTTGGGAAAATGGGTTTGGTCGGTGGGAGATGGGAGATGGGGAGTTTTTGGGCGTCAATTAGCTGTCGTCTGGGCCAGGCACTTTCACAATTTATCAAAAATACATCATCAAAGTGTCCACATTTCGTTTTCAATACTTTTTATTGTCTTCGTTGTTCTTCTTTCTCCCTCTTACTATTTTTCTTTTTTTTCGGGCAGGAGGAGTTCCATTATTAATTAAAAAGCTGACAGACAGCTCTGTCATCACGATGACCATGACCCAAGTGGGTGAGCTCCTTTGTTGTAATGTGTTGCTTTGTTATTTGCGCATTTTCACACTGCAAAAGTTCGCTGCTCCGATGAATAAGAATTCGCTTGTCTATAATTCATTTGAGACAACTACAACATGCTACTCTTGTTACGCCCGCCTTTGTGCCGGTGTTTGGGTTGTTAATGCGAGCCTCGATTTTCCAGTTTTCAGCCAGTCAGGCATTAACTTTGCTCATTTACCCACTCGGTTTATTCACTCAGCCACTCACCTGTTCGTTTCATTCATCCATCTATCATTTAATCAGCCCTTTGCTTGCTAGACCAAGTTTAGGAGCCGGCTTGCGAGCTCTTAATATGATTAAGTTTTTACGCTTCGACAGCTTCTAGCACGGCGCACTCGCCGCCTCGACTTATTTATTCTTCCATTTCTAGGGGTTTGCCGTAAACACATATGTTTACAAAAGCTGCGCTATATTTCAAACTAGAAGTTTTTCAATTTCCCAAGAAGTTTACCTTCAAATGGGGCAAGCATTGGGGATTATCCCGAAGCAATACAACTCCGTGTAGGGCAGGGTTCCTTGAATTTCGTGTCCTAATTCAAAGAATTTGTGATGAGGTCATGCTATAAATTGAGTTCGTTAGGCTTTCGACAAGGTGTGAACGAAATTTTTCTCCCTTTTCCAATTGTTTGCACTTATTTTAAAGAAAATAATACATTTAAAACCGAAATTTTTTAACTTACAAACGTAAAAGCTAACTAAACCTTAAGTGCTCTTTGTGCCCTTGTCATTTTTGCTGTGGGAACTGCAAGTGTTTTATTGACTAAACACTTTTCGCGATTTATTGATTTGAATCTCCATGCAAACAGCCAAACAGTCATCCGGATGGCTTGCAATTTCTCAATTGAAATCATCCAAACAAATTGCATTTGCATGCTCTACCCCGGAGTCAAAGCGAAGGCCAATTAATGGCAGTGAACAAAACATTGGCTCTTCAATGCAAATTCAATGTGCTGACAGGCGACAATGTTTGATGGCACCGAGGGAATTGGAGGGGTCATATTGGCCAGTAAACATAAACAGATATTTCTAAATGGAGCTCATGTCATTAGCACATTCACAAATTCGACAGTCGCCGGATGTGCTGCCGTCTAAAACAAAAGCGGGAATGTTCTTGGAAACTCTCGTTGCTTACAGATACATTTGTATCTATAAGTTTGTTCAATTTTAAAGTAATATATTTGTGGTAGTTTAGTCCCAACCACATGATTCACTTTCCTTAATTATGCACAACCGTCAGAGATCGAGAGATTACGTATTTTGGCCATGACTGAGAGCACAAATCTAAGGTTTGAGAAAAAATACTTTTCCACTTGAAAAAATTTCAAGTTATATTTTATTCAAATAAATATTTCTAAACCGTTGAGGATCTTTTTAATTGTACTGTAGTTTGTTATCAGGAAAAAAATCTTATGTTTTTTTTGTTATTATTAATGATGTTTATTTATTATATTTTTAACCAAGTGCTAATTAGTTTAAAACTAATCAATACGTTTTTCCTGTTTCTGTTTTCAGTGAACCAAAACGATAACAAATCATATTCTTCGCCTTCCCGCCACAAATGTTTTCGGCCAGCAAAATAGCTTGCTAAGGTGAGTTGTTCGAAATGTATAATTATAAATTAAATTCATATGCGTATTAGTGTAGATTGGCATATGTCAGTGACTAAGAGCCCCACATTTAATGACTGATAATTGCTGTTGGACAAGAGTTGCCTTCATTTTTGGCTTTAACCATGGCAGGCGATATATTTAGGTAGATTAGATAAGGAGGTAAACAGCTCTATCAGACTGCAATGCAACTGTAGTATATAGAATTGATTTATAGAGGCCAAACAGTTAAAATAAGCAAAAAATTTAGATATTGCAAGTTTTAAATATTCCTAGATAACTTCCGTTTTCGCTGACGGATATTTTGATTGATTGATCAAAGCAATAATTGGCCAACACTTTCCGGCCAATCGCACCTGGATACTCTAAGTTGTGCCCACCTGCACTTGGCTATCAATCTTGGCCAGTCACCTCGACTACCTCATTACCCTGCCTCATGCATTTTTAATTGGCAAATGCTGCTCAACACCCAATGAAAAGTCGTCCGTTATTGGCCAGTGGCCAACTTGAAAAGGGCAAAGTTTATTGGGCCAATAATAAAATCGAATTGGGGGAATGGGCAATCGTCAAGAATCGAGATTCGAAATCGAAACCGGGCAAGAACTATTTTTAATTATCTTGCAGCATTTGGCTTTGACAGTTTCAGTTTCAATTTCTAGCTGCAGTTTTTCAATTTGTTCAAATTGATTGGGGCACCACCCACAGCCCACCCACTTTCCACGGTTGGCGAGTCGCGGGGAAAAAGGAATTCCTAACAAGAAATGAAAATCTAAACATCTCTAACATATTCGATAAACACGAGCCGAAAAATAATGAAAGAGGCAACTTTCATCGGTGGAAAATTTGTGTAAAATTTATTCTACTCGCAGCCGCGCAGCCCCTTTCTTCTTTCGTTTTTTTTCGGCGTCTGCTAATTTTAGCGTGAAGAAAGCTGATTGCATGGGGCATTTGTATTTCGGCTCTTCAATTGCCATTTCATTTATATTTTTAATTACGCAAAGCGATCTAGAGAGAGTTCTCCCTGGCTCGATCTCTCTTTCCACATCAGCTTTTGTGGCTCTTTTATGTGCAATTAATTCTACAATTTGTCACAAAAAAAAACTATTTTAGTGTTTTTACATATTATTTTGTAGTTAAATTTAAGTTTTAGTCGCTGCTGCTGTTTTTATTGCCGGGGATTGTAATTAGCTTCGTGGTGGGTTTATTGAACTGTGTGCTGAGCTCTCCAACAACAAACCAAACAACATACACACAAATCTGACATGTTTATGCGTTCTAAACTATTTACGACCAAAGGTCCCGGCCACAAAAAATATTGATGTTTCCATAGACTTGCCCGGTTTATTGCCATACTGTGGAAATTCTATGGTTCAGGTAGCTCTATGTATTCCCCGTTTTGTTATGCTTAAGCTTGAGGCGAACTGGTTGGCTGATTTAATATGTAACTCGCACCAATCCGTCAATTATTTTGTATAATGAGCTGACTTTGGTTTGCGGCTGGAGCAATTTAAAATCAATTTTATCTGCAAAAACTTGATGATTTATAATTTTAAACATATTGAATATTGTTTTACTGATAGATTGAAATCAATTGCGAATTTTTTTCTTAACGTGTTTTTTGTGAACTTATCAATGCAGTCATGGCAAGTAAAACCATGGTCAAAACTATTTACGATTTACAATTTTCAAACAAATTTATATTGGAGCCACATTTAAAAGTTTCCCTTGTTCTTTACGGTTTCCTTGTATGTACCTCGACAATTAAAATTTTTAAACAATGTAAAACAAACAAATCTATTATCACCTGCGAAAATAAACAACAAGGCGAACGCGATTCAGCGAATACCATTTCCTTATCTATAACATGTGTAGTTTAAATTAATGATCGGCGCCAATTACAAATATACGCAGCTCGTATAGGGGTTCCTTTGCCTTATAAGGCCTGCGGTCCGTCCCACTGTCATTAGTCGCTTATTGAAATCAAGCGGCGCTGATAACAATTTGCGATTGGAAATCGAACTGCGGAAGGTGTTGATGCGATAAGCACGTTCGCATTTGGAGCGGCCAAACCTTGACCAACTAAATTGGGGCTAATGAATCAGCTGATTGATCACGAATCGACTCTCCGATTCATATAAGGTGCTGGAGTCGGTTTCGAAAGGTATTTTCTTTTGGTGCTGCCGCCGCCGCCGCTTCGTTTTTCCAATCGGCAAACGCAAATCCAATTATCAATCGGATCAATTGGAAAGTCGGGGCCAGGCAACCACAGTCCAATAAACGGGGCGTGTCAATGCAATTAAGGATGGCAGAAGGGCGGATCGATTTGGGTTCCGTTAAGGAGAGTAAGCCCCGAAGCTGAATGCACCGAACAAAATTTAATGATCGATTGGGTCTGTTATTTTTAATGAAAATAACTTGATCTTCGCTTATTTGATCAAATATAAATTTTCATGTTAAAGAAACTAAATTGATACTAGAAACCTTGGATTTGGTTTTGAATTTATCAAATGTTCCCAGTCAAAGATATCTTTAAAATCCGTTGAATGATATTGATCTATGAGATTCAGACATAGTACAATTTTCTAAAGAACTTATTATTTGGTTCTATTTTTTCGTGTGTGTTGTTCCCCGAGAAAGTTCTCCCTATAGTTAGCGTTTCCCATCTTTGGATGCTTCGCTGCCGCGTGTTGGGCCTACGAAACAAGTTTATTCCTCTCTCTCTTTATGAGTCTACCCGTCTCTTTCGGTTATTCTGGTTGCGCATGAATCACTTTTTGTTTTGGTCCGACTCTGCTTTGCTCGAAGCTTTGTCTTTTCGAAAGGTAACTAAACTATGTACATTGTACACACAGCGAGGTACTGTTAAAGAGCATCGGGGATCCAGGGACGGGAGTCGTAGAAATTGAGTTTATGACGTTTGCACTTAACCCCCAGTGGAAAACATGGCACAGTTATCATTCGTTAGCTTTCTGCCCAGCAGCGGAAGTATGTCGGTCGAGCGTGAATCGATCCACGCAGCTCGCTCGCCATTCGTCACTAATTCATTCATTCATTCGCCCAGTCAGTAAGTCAGTCAATGGATTCTAATGTTTCTGTATTGTTTTTTTTCTGCTTTTGTTTGCTGCTTGATTGCATTGCCAGCGGATATTGGCAATGCAACTGGGAGAACCGAATAGCACACCCCAAAAACCCACATACTGGCCTAGTCCCGGCCTCTATTCTCTTGAGGATTTGGAAAGAGTCTTTATAATCATAAATTCAATTTCCGTTAAGTTCTGGTGCCTCGGTCAATTTAGATTCAATTTATATGTATGAACGTGAACTTTTTCAATTTTTAGCAAATTAATTAATTCGAATTTTATATTTCAAGTTATTGGTGTTTGACAGCAAGTCCTTAAAAATCTCCAAATTGTAAGCAAACTTTCTAGCTAGCCCAAATTACTCCCACTCTTTATTAACTTTAATTTAATTCACTTTTTAATGGCTTTTTTTTTTTATAAAATTCAATAACCAAAAGCGAAAGAGAATTGAAAATGTGAAACCGTCACTGGTTCACGGTCAACTCGTGCGTCTAATGACAGCCAACGATTTTCTGGCCGCATAATTACGCCGGCGAACACCACAAAAGTAGCAACACAAGTAACCACTGCAAACAACTGTTTCATTTACATTGTGCAGAGTCATGGAATCTGGTCAATGAATCGCACTGAAATAGCAAAAACAAAAGAGAGAAAAAACCGAAATTGCCCAGGGCACGCCAACACACACACATACACACACTCCACGATAACTAAGAAGTCAGCACACGCGATGGTAAATCTTGTATGGAATACTATAAATGCCACGCCCACGCCCGAACAAGGCTTATTATGGCCACATTTATTGACCACAAAGTAGCAGCAAGACAGACGAACAAAAAACTGCCGAATCCAGCACAATTCATGGACCAATGTGGGCAGGTGTCTTGTATCTCAGTGTCTGAGTGTGTGGGTGGCTGGTAAGCGCCAAGAGTTAACCATTATTAACAGTTTATTAAAAACAACTCAAGTGGCCAAGGTAAATAAAAAGCAAAGAGATCAAGCTAAGCTGAAGCACGTGCTGCCACAAATTGGGACAAAAATGAGCACAGCAAAATATAAATAACCATAAAAAGGTAATAAAATAGTAATAATTTAACAGTGTGTAGCAGGTGCACTTATTAAAATTTCCTTAAAATAAAAAATTAAAAATGGAAGTTAAATTTAATTTAAAAATGTTTCGAAACATTCTTGCGAAGTTGTTTTTACTCAAACTTGCAGCATTGTACACCATGTCGTATGAGTAATGTCAAAAAGTTCATAGCTTATAATTGTGGTACCGAAAGTAAAGTTTATTTTTGCAACTCCTCTTTGAAGACTCTTTTCTTAACCTTCCTCGCAAACTTGCAACACTGTACAGCGTGTCGTATGAGTAATGCGAGGCATTTGGAAAGCGAAACTTTGCCACTACAAAGAGCAGCATTCCTGAGCAAATTGCAAATGCTAAGTGAGAGCCATGGCATCTAACAAGATTCTTTAGGCACTCACAAAATGAGAGAGAGAGAGAGAAAGAGAGAGGGAGATGGGTTAGACAGAGTCGGCAATATTTATCGATTTCGTTTTCAGGCAAAACTTGTTGCGCTCAGCTTCGCAAATCAATTACGCAATTTAACTCTCAAGCGATTTTATTTAAATGAAAACATTTTCATGGCAGCCAATTTGATAAGTGGAAAAACGCTCATCAATCAGTCAGTTCAGCGTTCCATCACTCTGTCAAGACACAGAACTTTCCTCAATATTTCATCAAACCGAAAGTTCACTGACTTTGGGCTGTCTTACGAACAAAAAAAAATATGTTTGACCCAAAAAAAGAAACTTGGAAAATGTGCGTTGATGTGCAGTGGAAGTGCCGCGGACTGTCAGAGGAATATACATGTATATACTAAAGTAACAATAACCACACTA